TAGTTTATATAGAGAAGGACTGTAGTATGCAAATATTTATTTATAATGATACATACAAAACACATGAAAGCAATAAAAAAAAATTACACACACTACTATGTATTTGACACACACGTTTAGAAGTTTAGCCTTTGACCATAGAGCTTTAATCATGTTCAAACTTAGGTATAATTTAAACTCGTTTTTGACAATAATGCTAACAAACGAACAGACAAAACAATTTTTGCTCCTATTACATTGATAAAAACCGTAAATAGTTTTCTACCATTTCTATTATTTTGTTACCATGTACGGACAGCGATCAGTTTTTTATTATATATGTATATAAATGTTGTTTGATAAACAAATATATAAAGGTATTGACTCCGAGCAAACTGGTTAGCTATGCTTAGCACTTGGTAGGTAGGTATTAGCTATATCAACGTTACTTAATATTTGTTTAAAATTTGGTGGACACTGTTTTAATATTATAAATACGTAGTTGTCGAAATCACAGAGTAGAAAAAACAAATAACATCGTACCTACAAGCTTTGCCTTCGCACAACCATACAAATATAATTATGTGATTGGCACACGTATTATGAAATTTGTGTTGTTAAAAATATCAGTCATCAGGGATGATGGGAGGAAAAAGGGCCACTATCCCTTAAACAACACTTGTACACAATGGGTGCTACAGACAGTCCCCTCTGTCGGGGCTGCTTTAAAGACGAAGAAACGGCAGCTCAGGTGTCAATCATCAAGTGAAGACACTAGGAGGATTCTGCGCTTCTGGGAGCTTGGCTGGCTACTACATACTAGTACACTTGACTCGGCAGAGTATATGACTGATTTGCTTGGCTAATTTACTTATTGTTTCAGTAGACTGGAATATACAATATGTATGTATTTATATAATAATAATGTTAATTTGATGAGAAGTGATGGGATGAACACAGTACTCAAAGACTTAGCCAATTCCAAAAAGTATGTGTTTATTTTATAAGTGGATAGCGATATCACATGTTAAGTCTTTAACTGCGATTTTATTTGATTTGCTACCTTACGTTGAATTTAGACAATTAACAATTTAATCTTGTAATAAAAACCATCGCTCGTTCGTTATTGGCTGTTTTCCAGTCTCGCCAGATATAGGTATGTTCAGTTATCTTTTATTTTATTATGACAATACAAATATTCAATACGTTAACTGGCGATAACCTGGGGACATCGCCGATACGGATTCTTTGTTACACAAATTTACAACCAGATAGGTATTCTACATTTACAATTGGGGACTAAATGTGGATATAAGAAATCAGTGTATTATAGACATTTTAAATTACTTTATTTTCCATATTTAACAATCTTCCAGCACGTAACTTTGTCCATATATCAATTCTTGATGCGGGTAAAATGTAAGGCACACCTCTCTGTCGTAAATGCTACATAATTATGGGATTATTGGTTAAGCGATCAAACCGCGTTACAAATATACAAACTGTCTATTGTTTCTTAAAAAAAAAGATATTTTTAAAGTTTTCATAATACATTAATAATTAAATAAATTTAATAACTACTTTATAAACGTACCGAAAATATACATTCTTGTGCTTGAGCTTCTCAAAATAGGGGCTGTTTTAGGTCGGGGGTCCTTATTATTATAATGAATCTGCCACCACTGGGTTCCCCGTGGAAACTGGTACCCCCTAAACAGTACCCCCATTAGTGCAGAGCGAAATAGCATTCCATGTTCGTTAAATAAAAGTACTCTAACCTTGAATACTGGTGAATACATTACAAATACATTTACGTGCCATTTAGATTTTTGGGTATTAGTTAAAACTGGGCTAAATGAATATCCTTGTAAAGTGAAATAAAATATAAATACCTACACATGTAACTATGTTGCAAAGCTGTGACATGCTAATTGCAATCTTCCTTGCAGATATTATTCCAGCCTGCCCATTGTCATTCAAATTGTTACCTGACACAATGAGTTCACCAGATCAATATCAACAGGAAGTCAGATCACCAGATCAGACAACCAATAATACATAGGCAGAAATAGAAAAACACTAGACTTGAAACTCAAAAGTAACAACATCAACATATACGTACGTGTATATATAAAACTATTATGTAAATTACTATGAAATTTTCATAATATGCAACTAAATCTTACAGATATACTTACTTGCAACTTTGTCTGCACAAACTATTACCCCCTATTACACATACACACCCCCTTCTAGATATGAGATAAAATAATAATCTCAGGCCAATTCACACAGCGCCATCTAGACCCAAGCTAAGTTAGTTAAAGCTTGTGTTATGGGTACTAGATAACTGATATAAATACATAAATATATATATATTTTGAAAATATGTACATAGAAAATCCAGACTGATACAAACAATCATACTCATGACTTGTGCTGTGCGTGGAATCGAACCCGCGACTATTAGAAGTAAGGCGGCGCCGCGGCGTACTAAACCGCTAGACTGTTAAATGTAATCGAATATACAATCGCAATTGTGTGTGCTTTAGCGCCTTTCTTAATAATTAATTGTCATTGTAAAATGGAGGACATCTCACTACGAAGTAAAAACGTAATTGTAGAGTTATATATATGTATATATCTTCATGGCTATTATCCCCGATGGGCTAGCCAGAGGCGTTATCAACTGTCGACGTCGTGGTGAATATACAAGTAACACTTGACACACAAAAGGATCTCGATAAGTTTATCTTTTAAAAAATCTTATCATAATTCTAGTACCTAATTAAATACTGATAATCAGCAATATTATCCAAAAAAATATAAATGTTCTATATTTATAAATAATATGTAGGTTAATTTTGTAAATAGGTATACCTATAACGAATACGTATATAATTGCTGTGTTCGTCTCTTGCCTAAAAATAAGCTTAACCGATTTAGGTTTAGCCGATTTAGTTTAGTACAATCAACTTTCGCATTTCTTGTACTACCTTCGTATACAACAGAGGTTCCCAAACTTTTTTGTGTCGTAGATCCCTTGCCAATTTTTTCGGTTTTGAGTAGACCCGCCATTCTTATATAAAGTAAAAACAACAAGATGGCTGCTGTCGTAGTCCCCTTGCAGTTTGTCATAGATCCCTGGGTGTCGATATGGACCACTTTAGGAATCACTGGTCTACAATTTCGACCTCGACTACTTCTGTACAACTTTTCATTCCCTGACAGACTATTTTTTAAGAAAAACGTAATGTATATTTATTTCCGTGATACAATCTGTCTTATAAAATGTAAATAGTAATGACGTCACGACTAAATTTAATTAAGATCCGTTCAGCAGTTGAGTTAAAAAGTTAATGAACATACATACACATTTTTATAAAAAACTAGCGGCCCCAGCAAGCGTTGTTTTGAAAACATATAAATTAAAATCGCTATTAAAACATAGGGGTTGGTGATAGACAACCCTTGTCACTTAGGGTACAAAAAATAGATAGTAGCCAATTCTCAGACCTACTGAATATGCATATTCAATTTCATAAAAATCGGTCTAGCCATTTCGGAGGAGTATGGTAACTATATAAGATGTATTATAACGGGCAGACTGTCAAAAGTCGTTCGCGTGGGTACAGTGTCAATTATTTACTACAAACACTAATCAGCTTGCTTTGCTGTGTTTCAGTTGTATGTTGCCATTAAACAGTGTAATTACAGTTTAAGATGCATGATATCTTGGTCTTCTGGAATGGCCCTCATGAGCGGTATCACGGGTATAACATGATAACGTGATGCCCGCTGCCCGACGATTCTGTTCATGTGTATAGTTAACAGTTGCCTCTTACCGCATAATAAGGCACAAGTTAGGTCAGATAATTCTCATGCTATAATTCTTGTGCTTAGGGGAGGGAAGAGGGAAATAATGCCAACATTGGCTGGCATTGACTGATTTAATCTTATTGTGTAATTAATATTTTGACCCCAATAAATTAGTGCTAAACTACCAGTTTTATATTTACATAAAAAAATAGGATTGACCATTATATGTAATGTAGATAATAGATAAACTTTATCAAGCTATTTTCATTGGTTGCTACTTACTGACGTAGACAGAATATAGACTGAGTCACTCCATCATTATATCGTAACATTCACTATAATTTGACTCTATATATTATATATATAATTTAAATATAACAAATATAAACTGACAACTCTGGTACTTCCCTGTTACCGTGAATACGCCATTGATTGATATAAATAGTACCTCATACCTGTTTTTTTTAGATACAATACATAGTCTTTGTCCTCATGATCATTTGCCGAAATTTTATTAAGTAACATTATACTTTTAGCGTTTTAGTCGTGAAAATATAAACAGACAGACATAGTCACAGTTGCGTATTAATGATATTTAGAATGGATTTTAATAAAATACTAATACTGTGGGTATATATCCTTGTATCGAATGTAATAATTAATGTTATTTAAATGACCATAGGAGAGCAAAGTCCAGTAATTTTAATAAAATTTAAATAACTTTATTAAAAAAAACAAATATGGAATAACATACAAGAGACGAACATGTTTCTAGAAGCATTCTCTACTAGTTAACCTTTGGGATGATCGATAAAATTATAGACAATGCTATATAATAATTAATGGAGCGTAATAACTCTATCAAAAATAAAATAATATAAAAATAGGATAAATATAAAAACATATTTTTCCGTTTATATTATAAAAGTATGTATATTTTAAAATTTCATTGCATATGTATTTTAAATAATTGTTAATTTGTAAGATATTTGCGTTGCGTGGGTAAGCATAGCAATTGTCGAATTAAAAAAGTATATAAATATATTCCTGTCGACAGCCCTCAATATATCTTAAAACATATGAACATTTCAATGACAACAGAGGTAAGTAATGGAGGGGAGTAAACAACAGCTCAACTAATACTGCAAATATTTATCAGAGACTCTTGTTTAACAAACTATGAAGTCAGTCGCAAACCAGTGTACGAACTGAGCAGTCGCGTCAGTTACATACAAATAAAATCTAATTAGATATTGACGTCAGTTATGTGGCACGATACAGAAACCGGCAGGGCCGAAAGGTCCAACGCTGGCTCTGAACTGGCCGTGTTGGATGAGCAACCCATGGTGAATGGAACACCTGACATGCCGAACATTGCTAACTTAAGTGTGACAAGATCGTCTCGTGTTCATTTCGGGCCCAAAATAGTGAATGTGACTCAAACAGTTCACACCAGTGAAGTAGTCAAAGGTGGGTAATTCCAAGCTAATTTTTCCTCTTGTCGCTGCATAAGGACGACTTTGTATACGTCTGTGATAAGCAGATGATCTTTGTGCTATCAAAAATGACCTCTCCAACTTAATAAATGCTTAGTCTATAAATTAATTTATCCTGTCCAGACATCCAAGGTCGCACGATCTTTGAAATGTAATTTACCATTATTCTCGATGTATTGACTTTTTAAAAATGCATCTGAAAAGATCAGTGAATGAAGTATCAATATGGTATTCATATTTATTGTAAACAACTCCACTTATCGTAATATTGCATATGTGTGAAATATACTAATTATTACTAATATTAATATCATATAGTATGACGTGACGAATATGTATGTATATAACCTTTTTACATAGTCTAACAAAGTAAATATTCTAAAACTATGTAGGTATACATTTTTTGTTTGTTTTCCAATTAGTATAGAACGAATACAAAACTTTAAATGAAACTTAAAACAACACATTAGTGAAAAACACACATAAATTGGTAAAGCTGCTGAGACACAGACTAACGGATTAAGAAAAGTGTAACTGATTTCTGATAAAAGATATATGAGAATAACTGTCATTATAGTACTTTATTAACGTAATAATTATAACGGAAACAAATGTTAACTATATTGTTTACATTACATACCTAAATGTCTGTTTGTTTTAAGACTATGCGTTAAACTCAGAAACGGCTTAACAGATTTTTGTGCGAATTTCACTAATTATTGTGTGTAATGTACATATATTGTGGTATGAAGCTTAAAATTTTATGTTTGTTCTGACGATTCGAGATAAGTTTATAATAAGTAGGTATATATTTTTATTCAGTTTTACAGTCAAATATTGGATTCTAAACAGTACCATTGGCAATATTTCTTAACGAATTCTTTCAAACATCCAATGTCATTACATTTTCATTATAACGTACTGTTTGACTATATTCTGCTGTATGCGAATTACTTTAAACGTAAATGATCGAGTGCAAATACTGGCTTTGTTTGAAAAGCTCAGCGAAGGACTTAAACTATTGTGTGTTTGTCTTCCATGGAATTCACATGCGTTCATATCGTCTTCGGAAACATTACCTAGATATATAACTAACGCTAACCTTTTGTTCGCGACTTCGTCCGTGTGAACACTACATATTAAGCGATCATTAAAAAAATACCTATGCCCTTATCATAATAAAAAGACGCGTAGAGTTAAAAAAAATTAATAGAAGTTTTACATATGCGTTGTATAATCGTAATACAATCGATCCTTATGTCAAACTTCATTCAAATATGTTCAGTCGTTTCTTCGTGAATAATTAACAAACAAGCAGATCTACAGACACACCTATAGGAATTTCAACGCGATATATATGTATATATTATGTATAAGTCTTTACTACTTACTATAATGTGGACCGTCAGCTTATTTCCCATTCCCCAATAATAATACACGAAAACATAGCAGAGTTATCTATATGCATATATGAATATTCATAAAATGACGATTCAATGATAGAGTTTAGTGTTAAAGTTGATCATAAGAACAATGGGAGATCTACACTATCCAACCGACTATGTAAAAGAGGATGTAGTCAGAAAGAAATTAGGACCGATGTATCTCATCTGTTAATATAAATCCTAATATAATTCACTTTCTAGCCACATACGTCCTCTTTTAAATAATCATTGCCTTCATAATCAACTTTAACAATAAACTCTATCAGCAACACACAAGTTTCTTGCTCATTCTTCTTGTGATAAGTTCCGAATAAGTGGTAGAATAAAAAAAATTGATTATTCAATAGTATATAGCTTATATGTATTAAGTTTATTTGAATAAAGATTATTTCTATTTCTATCAATGAAACATTATTGTCAGAATTATTCATACATTCATTAGATGATGACACTTTACAATTTTTTCATGTAATTGGAATGAAAAACAAGCATACGGCGACCTTATGTGTACATGACAACACTACATCACATTATAATATGAATATAGCGAGTCATATGATAATGTGATGTAGTGTTCATAGGACTAAGATGTCAAGCCCCTTATCCTGTAATTTAATTGCTTTAATAAAAACATAGTTTACAAAGTCAGCTGCTTTGTAAGTTGTATCAAGGTATAGTTTTTATGAACACTTTTTACAAATAATCAGAATGTTGTATGAATATGATAAAAACCTAATAACAAACAAATAACATGTAAAACGGGTTCTGTGATCATTAATATAAATTATCTATTTAGAACTGAATTCGTTGGTAGGTATAGTTCTGGAAAGTCCAGTTACATATAAAATGTATATGTATTACATTATTTATTATTGGTTTATATTAACTACGTACAGACTGACCTTTAGACAACACCATATATGTTATATTTACATAATTATCTAATAATTTTCGGCGCTTAGTTTCATAATGTTCAAAAATATTATTTCCCTAAATATGTATGTCTATTGGCTATCTTCGTCTGCAGAAAACATCATCCACTGCCAGATCATTTTATGAGATACTACCTCAACCTACGTTTTCACCCGCATGTAATTTTGCTTATATGTTATTCTGATGCTTTGTAAAGTTTCATCAAAATCCGTTCGTAGTTTTTGCGTGGAAGAGTCACAAACTATTAAACTTTGGCGTTTATAATATTAGTAAAATATTAAATCTTCATGTTAAATTTCGTTAAAATAAGTTTAACCGTTAAGAAGTGATAACGTAACAAACACCTTTGATTGTGTGACACGAGACGACTCTACTTCTGTCTGTCGGATTCATGTTTTCATTGTTATCCATCACTGGAGAGTTAATCATTAATACAAATTCATACAAAGTTATTTGGTGTCAGTTAGATTTAAACTCATTACCTTTCAGACTATGTTAAGGTAACACTCGCTTATTTACCTTTTAATCTCAGTCATTTGCTAATATTGCTGACACAATGGAAATATTATAATACCTACTTATATTAACAATTTAGGCAGATGCGAACTCATTGTCGTACAATTCTGAAATATGTAAGTACAACTATTCGAATTAACTTATAACGCTACCATGCATTAGCATACCACTTCAGTTTAAATTGCTACAACACAGACTTTTTAAGTCTAACCAATTACCTATGTAAGCATTACCTTAACTACATTTTAATCAAATGCATATTTGATTACTCTTTTCCTTTTACTAAATTCGATTTATTATGATTTTTTTTTTATTTAAACGGTTTCGGTGACCTAGCGGTTAGTACGCTTTACATCAGATGATCGCAGGTTCGATTCTTCGCACGGTACAAGCATTTGTATTCATTTGTGTGATTATTTGAGTTGGTGTTTGTTATGTTTTTAATTATAATCAAGAATATCTGTATGTTTTATCAGATATCTAGTATCTATAACACAAACTCTACTTGGCTTGGGACTAGTTGGCGCTGTGTAAATTGTTAAAAACTAAAAATCAAAAATTTTTATATATTATACTAAATAGGGCAGAACTATTAACGATTATTAAATGACTTCTTTATGATTGCAAACGGTTCTGCTGGCAGGACACCAGTGGAAGATGATAGAATAAGGATGAAGTCAGCTCAATTATGCTATCGTGACGAATTCACCAATAGATTAATCATGATGGTTTCCTTTTCGGATCTCTTGGATCTCGACCTGAACATTTACGTACATTTTTAGAATTATTAAGGCGGCATGAAGCCGTCTCTACAAAAATTTTGCTAACGATTGTTAGCAATTTTAAAAAGTCATTTCACTGTGATACTAAGTAAAGTCTTAGCCTAATCAGTCTTACCTCGAAAGTTGTTCAGCCCCTATATAAGGGACGGTCAGGACGAAACTATATCGCGTTTTATTTTACTGCAGCGCCATCTCTGTAATCGCGATTTAATTATGTCCTGAGCAAGGATACAAACCTTCAGCCAGACAGCGCCGCCTGAATGAAGCAACAGGGAATAACAAGTAAACACTAAGTGGAAAACCCTGTTAATAGTCTAGAAACAATTCTCAGTAATAACCAATTATAATAAAATGTAATGTCGCTTATTTATCTACATATATATATTTATTATTCCATAAAAAATATTTACTATGAATACTAAGTGTAGAATTCATATTGAAGCCTTCAATTAAAATTTTAACACCTATTATTTTAATCTATACATAGAAAATAAAACAACATATGTTTAGGCTGAATTAGTCTATTCTATAATGTAATTCCGGATTTAGAAGTTTAGATATGAAGGAGGTTACAATTCCTAAAAATTAATTGTAACTGCACACACAGCTCTGATTGTACTTACAATATATGAACAAATTCATGAGAAATGAAGTATAGATAACGAGTAATCGCGTGTTACCTACACGCGATTATTCATGAGCTGCAATAATATTGATTTATGCGCACGGGGAACTGACCAACAGTTAAGTAATTTATATACAAAATGTGTAAAAATATTTTCAATAACACTAATAACAACATATAAACAGAACTGTGTTACTAATAACAACATATACAGCACCGTGTTTATCCGATTTCAAATTAAAGAAGCGTATCCTAAACAGTAATTCATAAGGTAAAGACGTAATTATTATATTGAAAATTTATTTAGTAAAGAAATTTTGAATTCTCCTATAACAATTGGTAATTAAAAATATTATTAACTCTTATATTTGTTTGTTACTTAGTTGTTATAAGTAATTAGATACCTACTTTATTAAAGCTACTAAGTAGTGTGTTTGTTATATAATGGTAGAGGCTTACAGACTCCTTACTCGTAAACAAAATGAATACAAATAAATTATGGAATATTTATCACAAAGTAAATCAAATAATGTGAATATTGTTTGTCCTATATGAGATCTTATTTTAAATAATTCATAAATAAAAACGTAGTCAACATAGCGTACAGATAAAATAAACATACTTAACAGATTTTTAAGATAAAGAAGATTTCCACTAAGGTCCTTCACCGACTCGTATGTTTGGCCATCACGTACTCCTAGTATGTTAATTTATACAAATTCTTGTGACACTACAATCGAGACAACACTGGATTTCTTTTATTTTCAAGGATATACTTAAAATATGTATACAAGCTTCAACTATGAATCCTAAAAAAATGAACCTACTTACCAAAACAAAGAGAGCGTATATCTATTAAGAACTAGACCATGCAAAAACCAAAAGACGGTGGAATACCAAGAACCAAATTCTATTAACTTTTTGTTAGTTGGAATAAAACTAATATTTAAGGAAAGCTTTCAACAATGCATTAGTGAAAACTGCAACCAAGCCGAATAATCTCTTAAAGCGCACAGAGAATCAGACAAAATGATTACATCGATAAAATCTCCCAATAATAGTTTGTCTCATATATCTTTCAAGTTCATTAATCAGATTAATCAAATCATAACAAATTATTACTTAATTTTTTGATAACATTCTTCTATCTGAATCTCTTTCAGAGATTTTTTATGCAGCAAGCAAAACAGCAGCGTAGCTTTTTTGCGCACTACTTAATAGTTGTCTTTTGTAATTAATTTTTGGACCCATCCTTGAATTTCATGATATTGGACCGCACAGTTAGTCACATGGAAATAGCCCCTAGCTAGTGTGAAACCACATATTTTTAAATTAATTGTATTATTTTCATTATCAATTCAATTTTTGTTTCAATGCTTATATATATTAGTATTTGGACCTCTGTTAGATCCTTTCTACTGCATGTTTCATGAGATTTTTCCGTAATGTTTCAGGCCGTATTCTAGGCCTGGAGCTGGTGTCACCCAACTCCGCCCCCCGCCTTCGATGTAGCGTTGCGGTGTTCGTGTGCTGGGCCGCACTAGTCGCCTCTGCTCTTGCCTTCTGCATCTTCTATTTTGCATTATACAAACACCAAACTCGTCTTGACATAGGTAAAATGACTCAATAATCTTTATTATTCACATTTTTATCAAATAATCACTAAGATTTAAACATATAATTTAAATAGTATTTGGATAGTTTTTATTTACAATTTGTTACGGACACATTTGAATTCAAAAAAGGTGATATACTTATTTCAACCCTACCGAGATTCAAACCCGCAGCAGTGCTTTCTTACTGAAGTCGTATCGGTCAAGCAGGAGTTCGCCTTTAGACGTTCCTAATAAGTCCTTCCTCAGATTTGGAGTGCCCTCTGCACTCAGCCCCCTTTTTCTCATGAAGCTGTAAAAACCAGTTACGTCCTACAATATTAGAATAGTTCGCTAAAACTAACATTCACGCTGAGCTGCCCAAAAATCTGCTAGTGGTACCTCGCATGGTATCCACAATTGGTAAAAATGAGCTAACTACCCAGTCTTCATCTACAAAGCAAATGGTTTATGACATATTGAACCTTTTATAAAACCTTCTAATAAATAGTACAACTACACATTTCATAATAAAGGCATAACATGTTCCGTTCTTTTGGCTAGGTCTAAAGGAGCCTTGGTATCTACGACGTGACGATTGGCAGGCAATGCCTGCGTATGAAGAAGATTTTCTTCAATTGCCGGTCCAGTATGTACTTATTGGTCATACGGCTGCCAATTACTGTACTGAAAAGTACTCGTGCATACAAAAAATGCTTGACATCCAACAAGACCATCTTAGAAGAGACTTTGGCGACATCGGGCCTAATTTTCTTTTGAGTGGCAATGGATTGCTCTTTGAAGGAAGAGGAGCAAATTTAGTTGGCGCAATGGTGAAATCGTGGAATATCAAAATGATTAGCGTCATGTTTATGGGAGATTACAGGAAGGATCCCATTTCTGAAGCGCAGTTCACCCATCTGAAGGTTCTACTTGAGGTTCTTACAGAGAAAAATGTGCTGCGGCCGGATTACATCATCTATGGAAACTGCCAAATCTCCGCTCAGACTATAAGTCCTGGGCCAAACGTGATGAAGAACTTGCATTATTTAAAGCATTGGAACTCTTCAAATTCTAACTTATGTTTGCCCGGATGAGGTACGAAATTGTATGTCTATTATCGAGTGGTCTTGCGAATTTTTGATGAAAGAATCGTATAACATGAACATGTATTGACCAGGCTGTGTCGGATATACATATACGTTCTCAATCCATCGCTACTTGTGGACGATGTTGTCCTTATAAAGATCGAAGAATGGGTTTATTAAATTAATATCAATGATCAAGAAAATTTATTCGAAAGAAAAATTTTCAGCGGTTTTCAATGAGAAGTAAGCCTTCTCCTTAATTAATGTTGCGTTATGAAGAATCTCATTCAAAATAAATTGTATAACTGGATAAATTACATTTGTTTCACACATATTTCTAATAATTCTATTTTATACGGCAAATAAAATAAAAATACATTTTATTTACAAAGAAAGAAGCTATATATTTTAAACTATTGTTACGAATACTATGGGTATGAAGTCGCGGACTCTAATAAACGTATTAAAGCAATTTAACTGTTTTGTAATTCTCTTCCAGTATTCTTCATTTTAATGAAACTCACGAAACATTCATATTGTTGAATTGGATGGATGTATGTTTTAATGCTTAAAGTATAATACGTATACACGTAGTGCATACGTTAAGAGGTACATAAGTTTAGTACAATGAGTTATTAGACTCTACATTTGTCTCATTCAACAATATTACGCATAGGTTTTCCTATATTTCAACAAATGATCAGCGGTTTAAATTGTACTTGTACATTGATGCATCATTATTATAATATCACAAATAAGAATTTCAGATGACAATATTTTCTTGTTCTGAGTTACAGTTAATGGGCTGTGATTCTTCAATAGTTGTATTATAATTAACTTGCTATTTTTACCTATTAAATCTTTATTAGAATTAACGATTGTTAGAATATTTGTCTGTTTGTCTAATACTAGTAAGCCAGTTTTTACTAAGGCGCGTTAAGCTTCACTCAAAATTTGTCTCATTTATTTTGATATGGAGATAGACACTGTCAAACAAGAGATTTTAAAACAAACCAAATCATACAATGAAAGAATGAAAAATCATCCCAACCGCCTGGCAAAGACACTGATGAAAGTGAGCCAGTCTAGTCGCAGTCTAAAACGCAAAATGCCTCAGGACCTTGTCAAATAAACAGTGCATAGTAAAGTAAAGTAGGATGTGTGTAACACATACCGAGCCTGTCACAACGAGATAACCCAACAAACATACTACTTAATGTTCAGTTGTGAAGATTGTAGTAGAGTATTGTGTAGTTGTAGTAGAAGTATTTTTGATATTCCTAGTGTTACTGAGGAAGTCGCAGCCTACGTAGTAGTATAATAATCAATACTTCACTGTACGTGTTTACTAGACTGTCTAAGTAAATGCTTAATTGCACCACTGTACTATTTGCTAAATTGCCATTTAAACATTTTTTACATACTTTGGACCTTTTCATTGGATCTGATGGTAGTTTTTATAGTCTATCTTAGGAGTAACCTTTTTAACTCTTAGCATTTAACTATGCAAATAAACGGAAATACTGGAAATGAATAAACTCTTATTCTTCTTATTACCTTATAATAAAGCAATTAAAGAATATATCTGCTTACTACTAAACAAATCTGTAGGTATGAATATACGTGGTTTTGAAGACAAACGCATATTCATCTTTATAAAACTCGATACACATATTTCCATTCTATGAATGGTTATTCCATTCATAGAATGGAAATATGTGTATCGAGTTTTATAAAGATGAATATGTTTTGAAAGGTTTACATAAAATATACATTATCAATTATTATTATTATCAATACTTACGAATTGTTTGTGATCTCGAACACTCGTGTTTACTAATGATCCATAAATGAAGTTGTTACCGACATGCTAGTTTTATGCATTCATGTAAATAATTTTGATCGATATTTTTTAATCAATAGTTGTTGCACCCTCCGACGCTAATGGGGCATCAGTTTGATAATAAAATGATGATGATGTCAGGTGATATAGCCCGCGTTGGTTTCCAGGATAACCCCGTGAAGGGCGATCTGAGAGGGTTATATTAATAGCAAAGGGGCAATCTTCCCCATAGCTATGTAATAATTCTCTACCACCCTGATAAATACATATACATATAACATTCTAACAAAAAACGATTTTACCTGACATAAGTTAAAATATCCGATCTTCCGTTATTTTTTTTTCAGAAACTTTTTACCACAGTCATATAGTATAATAATATATCCAAACTGATATAATATTAAAACCTTCAGGAAAATAGCTTATTTCTCTTTAAAACGCCGCCGTTGCGGGTGCTCATGGTAATCACTTACCAATAGATATAACGCAACTTCTCAAATTCGTTTGCCCCTTATTTTATAAATAAGTAATACCGTCTGAATGACACTTTTTTATTCGGTGGTAATACACTAATAAGTATAAATACAATATATTACTATATAATCCTGTTTGATCCAGCGGTTTAGCACATCGCCTTCCTACTTCCGATTGTCGCTAGTTCGATTACGATAATTTAAAAAAATACGCTTTAGGAATCACAAATACTAATTTTAGATATGTATTTTATATGTTAATGAAATCGCAATGTCCTTGATGAGAGTGTTTAAAAAAAAAGAAATGTAATTATGTTTATGTATTTGCTCATGTATTAGATAAGAACAACGTTTTTAATCCACAAGAATAGCGTTAGCGTCAGCTTTATTGTCTTTAGTTATGTAAATTCTGAAACTGACAAAATTTAAGTATGAAACACATTTCTCTCATTCAAACTCTATCAAAAACAATCTAAATGAGACCTTTTACAAAGATCTTATGTATTTAAGAGATTAAAATGATTATATCCAATTTCTTCGCAGTCAGTATAGAGGTATTTATTTAGGTGCTAAGTTGATTCCTGGATCACCTATAGAATTACCAAAGTATACTGTGATAGCAGCATCGATAGCAGTTTTAGAAGGTCAATTTATAAACAAACGAAAAAAGTAATTATCGTAATGTATATGTGAACTGTGCCATATAGAAGGGATTGCTGATAAATTGGTAGCACCCTATAATACTTTGAGCGTGTCCATGTAGGTAGATTACAGCTTAACCTCAATCTTATGACGAGGCCATAAAACTAATTTATTTTAGTGTCGATTCATATTCCGTCCACAACAAACATTATCGCCATTATCTTTTCTACAAATTTCATTTATTTTACATATTTCTAATTTGATTAGTAGAATTGAATAACGATAAGCATGTATTTCGGCAACATAAAAAATACTGACACGAAACTTAAAAATGCTAATATTATTATAATAGGATAAAGAGAAATTAATATTTTATAATTTGTAAAATAAACATCGGAACCGCTCCATCGATCTCAGAAATTCTTTCACTGTTTGAAAGGTAAATTATTATAGAGTATACACTATATCTTATTAATGTTATAAATGCGAAAAATTTAACTATGGATGTTTGGTTATATAATAATAATTATGATTTACAAATTAAAACAAGATCAGCATATTTTTGATGATAATGGAATGGTGCCCGCCAGAACCAACTAACGGTTTACGCTGGGCACCAATGGAGACCCAGATCAGTTAGCGATATATTTCTGGTGAATCTGTCACAAAGGTTTCCAGGGAAACTACGTGGAGATGAACCTAACATGGTATATTGTTAGCTATAGGATCATAAGTCGACATTACTAACAATTCCTTTCCTCACACGGTCTCTTATTGTCTAATACATATAGATTTGGTGGGAAAGAGATTGTTACTTATTTGGACTGTTCCCATAATTCGACATGATACATTGCTATATACCATGTCAGGTTAACCTGTCCCCCTGGTTACCATCATGATAAATTCTCGGTGGATTTTGTCACTATGGGTTAACTTACCTGATCTCATTTTCTTATTATCATCCTCCACTGGTGCCCCGTCAGCGTAAACCATTAGTGTAGGCCGGTGTTTCCCAATTAGTGGTACGCGTACCTCCAGGGGTACCTACGTGAAGTTGCATCAAAGGGTACGTGCGGTTATCAGTAAAACAAACATACACACACTCTCACAAATTTCACATTTATAATATTAGTGTGATTGTTACATTAAGGGGTACGCAAGGTTTGAGGTCTTTTTTGAAGTGTGTTTTGCTGCGTACAAAAACTAATTGAGAACCACTGGTGTAGGCGACTGCATAACTTCATTATCATCCACAAAAAAATGTATAGATTACAATTCTGTAATTACTAAATCATCAATTACGTACTATGTACTTATCTTTTAATACTTTCGATAGGAAAAGACAGTGTGTCAATTTTTTAAACCATGTTACGCTATCTATTTCATTGTTTCTAACCAGGTCAATGACACCAAATTACTAGTAATCTGAAATAATCTTCCTCGCATTCTTACCTTCTAATATTATATTATAAATGCGAAAGTGACTCTGTCTGTCGCGATTTTACGCCAAAACTACTGACCGATTTAATGATATTAGGCAAATTAGGTAACCGAAAGGGGAGGCAAAAAGTAGTATGGAAGTATTGTCATTTTTAAAGCTAGAAGCTTGAAACCGTATTTTAGGTTGTTGATTAAATATATACATGAATAAAAAAGGGCTTTAAGGAGTTGAAAAGGGGGAATTAGGGTTGTATGGATGTATCGTCTAGTTTAATAATAATAATAAACTCAGTATAATTCACACTGCGCCATCTAGACCCAAGGTAAACTAGCTAAAGCTTGTGTAATGGGTACTAGATAATTGATACAAATACACAGGTATTTTTTATTTTTAAATACATAGATATTATACATAGAAAACACCCAGACCGATACAAACAATTATACTCATCAATACAAATGCTTGTGCCGTGCGAGGAATCGAAACCGCGACCATTGGTCGTAAAGCGGTGTGCTACCGCTAGACCACCGAGGTCGTCAGTTTCGTCAGTTTAAAACTAGTAGCTGGTATATTGTATATCAATAAATCTTACATAGGTACTATTATATATGTGTATTCCATAGTAGAATAATTTATTTTAGGTTATTTTTGATGGATCATCTCAATAAGCACATAAGTATATGTACACTCATGAGTTGCAAAAAAATCAAAGTAGTCGGTGATACTTTGGTATACATAGGGATAGATAGGCCTACAAGTACCTTGAATTGTAAGAAGTCAGGTCAAGTCGACCTCCACACGGTCCCCACCTGAAAATCATCGTAGTTCATTCCTAGTTAAGTAGCAACGGTTGCTTAACTGATCTGGTTTCATACACATCGTATCATCTTCCACTGGTGCCCCGCCAGCATATATCGTTATCTCAGTAGGGTGCACCATTCCATGCAAATGCATAAAAGTGTAAAAGATAAGAGGACTAGTAGTGGCAACTAGTGACCCCATTGCAAGCAATGTCATATCGATATCTACTTTATTCTCTCTGAATACAATTTGATTAATTACTGATGAATTCGTAACTGATTTGACCTCATGTTTATCTTATCATCAGCGGCTCCGCCGGCATGCGTATATCGTTAGCGCAGTCGGGTGCATAGTTCTATTAAAAACATAACATGTTATAGTGAGGGGTTAGAAACTGTTAATAATGAGGATAGTCGTCAATTTCTGGAAAATTCGCCTTCTATCATCGTCCACTAGTGCCCTGCCAGCGTAGACCGTTAGCACAGGCGAGTGCACCATTCACTTATTATCTGTGTAAAAACAGATAGTATAGTGTCTCCTTACTCATTATATATATAAAAAAAAACATAGTATAGACTATATACTATGTTTTTTTTAAATATATACTATAGAGTATTATTACTTATTATTTTACGTATATAAAAAAGACATAGTAGTTTATTCTTATCTTTATATTACAGATTTACCTCTCTCGACGTACTTATGCAATTTTCTAAAAAGCACCACCCGAGCTGAAAGGTTGTCTTGTGTGGCATCATTAGTGGCTCTAGTCATATGCATCGGTCTTATCGCCTATTACTCAAGTAGCGGCAAAAATATTGAAGCAGATACTGTTGATGTAGGTTAGTATATAAGGTACTACCAAATTATCTGCATTCCCTACTAAAGAACAGCATTTGTTATTAATACTATTATATTAATGGAAATCGAAAACTTTTTACCCCTTTTTCTACAATTGCGCGGATGGAGAAGTATGAAATTTCGTACACATTTTTTCTTTATACTACTATGGTGGCAAAGAAGCATACGGCCCATCTGATGGTAAATGGTTACCGTAGCCTATGGATGCCTGAAACAACAGGGGTGTGACGTGCGCATTACCGAGCCTTAAAAACCTTAATATACACTTATATAGAGTGCAATATTTTTTTTAATTATGCATAAATATATCTACCTACATTAAAATAATAAAAAAAGAAATATTATAAACACTACCATGTATTAGATATGTGTATATCTGATATATACTCTTTTGTATCATTTTCATTGCTGCTATTATTATTTACTCAATATAAATATGTAGAAGAGGATGCAGATAATTTTGTAGCACCATATATATACTACTTATTTCAGTATTAGAAAAATGCAATTAATACAATGCCAATAAAAATACTTCCCAGCACCGCATGAATGGAACATTACCAAAGAAATGTGGCTTGGACAAGCATATAACTACACGGAAACAACACAGCAGTTTGAACCCATACGACTGGTCATCATCCAGCACACAGTCAGTCCGGAGTGTCATAAATTCGTCCGTTGTGCAGCCGAGTTAAGAAACATTCAGGGTTGGTACCTGAGAGATCACGAATATGATATACCGTGAGTATTTTTTAAAATATTAACATTCCGCTACATGGTATGTTTTTTAATATTAAATACTAGAACTCTGAAATATTTTTCAATTTGTATATTTGGATTAGATTATTAGATAATTTTTCTTTGTTTGGGTAAGGTCACTATTCCACGAGGACGAAGTCGCAAGTATAGCTAGTATTAAATATAGCTTGTGTTCGACCTCGTCTTGCAATCTAAATTCACGTAAAATTTTATTTGTAGTTACTGTTCACCCGTATACCCAGGAAATGGGACAAGCAGATACAGAGGCATACTTTTAAATGTATAATATTAACTTACTAATTTTCGAGCCATATAAATTATTTCTGGATAATAATACGTAGGGATATAAAAAATAGCTTCAGACTACGTGTTAGACCTACCAAATATACACCAAAAACAATCGTTCAGAGGAGTTTGTTAACATACATTGTAACATGAGATTTTTACACGCATTTTATATAAAATGTCCTAAGTTATCAGTACTAATTATTGTTCACATAAACATTTACAGGATTGATAAATATTTACCTGTTGCATAAGTCTAGACATTCGTTACCAAACAGGAAAACCACATATTCCTTTTCAGTTGGTTATACATTACGCAGGCTTCAAAATAAATGATATTAACTCAAAATTACATCACATGGAAAATAGACTTTAAAATTTCAGGCATATAGTACAAAACTAGAACTTTAGTAGGCGTTCAATTTTATTAAGCATCCAATAAGTGTATGCAAATGAATCACTTTTTTGTCGCACTGTCCAAGTGATGGTATGTAAAAACAAGGTCTGAACGATCGGATGAAGAATTATAATAAGTTATATACGACGACGAACATAGGTCTTTTTTTATCTGAAAAAAAAAGTAGTCGTAATAGCGAATACCAGCGAGTATATGTATCCTTAGTTTTCTTGTCCGTTCCATAACTGGAGAACATCATCTGATGTAAAAAGTGGTGATATCTCAAAAAAAGCTATCCATGTACTACGTACATTAAACGAAATAGAAATAGAAATACTTAAAATACTCTACTAAAGTTCGCTACATACTCGTAATTAGAGAACACCCAGACTAATACAATCATACAATTTATAGAAATGTTTGTATTATGCGAAAATCTAGCCGTCCATATAATCGTAGCATTTGGTCCTTCTTATTCCGTGCCGATATAATGATAATATAGATAACATAACTAGGTACAAATCCACAAATTTAGGTTTGCCATATAAATTAAAATCGCTATTAAAAAATAGGAGTTGATGGTAGAAGGGTGAAAATTTAGGGTTTAATATCTCTCATACATTATAAATAATAAAAAAATTATAGGGATGATAAACTATTATCACTTAGGGGTATGAAAATTAGCTAGTAGCCGATTCTCTGACCAACTGAATATGCATATAAAATGTCCTAAAAATCGATCAAGCCGTTTGGGAGAAGTAACTAACATTGTGACACGAGATTTTTTTTTAATATAAGATAAACATATTATTTTCAGGTATAACTTCCTTGTTGGTAACGATGGCCGCATATATGAAGGAAGAGGTTGGGGCATAGTAGGTGCACACACTAGGTTTTACAACCGGTGTTCCTTGGGCCTCGGCTTTATAGGTGAATTTCTAATTGATTATAAGTACATGTACATGTATATTAGTTATCATGTATCGTAGATATGATGTTCATTTATCTAGAAACGATATGGATCATGTATTCATTATCATAGTTTAATAGTTATTACAAAATATATTAAGTACTTACATGTTTATTTATGAGTCAAACTCGACAAAGATAACAGATTCCTAAATGTTTATATCTGTATTAATATTCTAAAACGGTACAGTGTTTGTCTAATATATACAGATATGTACATATAAAGAACCTGAAGCTACTGAACCGAATCTGATAATTCTTCCACCGATATAGAATGTTTTCCTCAATAGTGTATATATGTAGTGTGCAATTAAACTGTTTACTATAGTGACCATCATTAATGTCATTTTGAATATTACATTAACTTTCGATGCAAAAAATAACTTATGTAATTTCTAGCACAAATCAAACGACCTACAACAAATTAGCAGTGGTAGTCAACCAAAAACTATGGTATTTATAACGTAAATGTAGGTAGCATTGTACTTCTAATGATTCTTTGTTATTTAATTTAGCTATTTTAATCTTTCTACGGACCCTTTCGCTCTAACAATATATGTAATATTTCGAAATGCTATACTAAAATTCAAAGTTAATATTGCCTTTGACTATTCAACTTCAAAATGTCTTGTTTTATATTCCTATCAAAATCAACTATCTATACACGAGCATGACACAGTACTTAGATACATAATACTAAACACAAATTGTAGACAGATGAGTTACGGCGTATAAATAGTAGATAAAATAATGTTATCTACACTGATAATCGTAAAACAAATACTAAAAATAAGTAGAATTTGACCAGATTAAATTTTAAAAGATTACAATGGATAAATTTGGTAATTATTTTTTTTTTACTGAATTTAGGGATCGCTTTTATGTATTACTAGAAAAGTATGACAACCACATACTCATATAAGATACATCAGGAACGTATGTTATATATGAATGTAAGTCATGATCCCTAAAATATCCAAACAGGTGAGGGCGAGATACGCTGGCTATTTCGGCTTACTAAAATATGATTGAACAATATGATGACTAGGTCATTCGTATACCTACTCATCGATTAATAGGAGATGCTCGCAGGGACTGCAGGGCAAAGAGACTAACTGTGTATTAATATTTCTCATATGAATTCGTGTTATTTAGTAATTGCTATTCGCAAAACATTTAAACTAATCAAATGCATTAAAGAGCAGGAGGCTGTCTTTCCTGCTTATTCTTCTTGGTTGATTCCGTATTAATGGTAAACTGAAATTATAATATATGGCAAATAACATCATAATTTTACTCTCTTAGTCTCATCCTAACGTACACAAACATTGAGGTGTGTTAGACCTACATTGGCAGTTTTTATATTCGTTTATCCATATTTAAAATATGAGAGTTCTTTTTATGCAATTGTTTTATTAGTAGGTACTTCTGTCACTGCGCTCTGCTATAATAAACGTCTCTACAAGCATGTCTTTAATTTTCATTAATTTTTAATATGTGAGACTAACCGGCTTATTACAATTAGGTAGACTCTAAAAAAGAAGTAGGTACCTACTACGTTCTATTTAATACCACTTCATACCTATATGTCATTTACCATCAGGTGGATTATTTAGTACTTTTACAATCTTTTCTATTCACAAAAAAATCGAGATTCCATACTTCTCTAAATTTGATTCACTTAATGAATTATTCATGTTACTAAATTTCCATTGAACTTAGTACCTACCTACAACAAAGTCGTAATTTTCAGGTGACTACCGTGAAAAAGGAGGTGTCCAGCATACCAAAGTAACGCAGTTACAGATCAACAGAACTTTAATGTTCCTAGAAACGTCTGTGGAACAGGGTCTACTCGACCCTGACTATGTAGTTTTGGCAGCAAAGGACTTACAGAGCACAGAGAGTCCCGGTGCCAATTTATACAAAGCTATGCAACAATGGAGACATTTTAATAACGGCAGTGAATATAAGAATAAAACTTGCGAAGCAATTTGGGCGATGAGGGGCGAATAAAGTTAATTTTTTAACGCTATTATTATAGTTAATTGTATCAATTAATGCAATGTAATGTAGCCATACGTCATGCTTGAAGGATGGTATGATTCAGTGTACTTACTGGCTTACAGAGGCATTATATCCTTTTTAATAACAACAACGCATGAAGGGTGAAAGTATTAGCAGTCCAAATTATGAGTCCATGCAGATATTTCAGATATGTAAAGGTTGGCTGCCGTTTCACAGCCATATAAATTTCTATCATTTGGATACAGTAAGTTTTTATCTAAACTTACTTCATTTATTGTTTATTACGAAAATGTTGAATGAATTGAACCTACTTTATAACTGAAACTCGCAATGGACTGTGTTTTTTTTTATACGTTAGAGTTTTATGTGTGTACATAAACTTAAATAATATAGTTAAGTTTTTTTACTACAACCGTCGTTTGAGTGTTGGATAGTAATAGTTTTAAACAGAACTAACATTTCTTATATTATGTATTTGTTATATTATCTGTACTTATATTTTTAGACGAATTTTTCTATAACTTTTTTTAAAGTAATAATAAGTAGAAAGTTAGAAAAAGTATACTAGAAGCGGTCACCAAATAATCTTATTTTTGAAGAGATGAGATGTAATTTCTTTTTTAAGTAAATAATTATTAAGAGCAAGCTAAAAACGGTTATTCATGTATTTTATTTTAATTTTGAACACATGATGTGTTGTTACTTATTTTTAATATTCTGTGAATATAAATTGTATGTATATTTGAGATGTAACATATTATAGACATAATAAAAACAAAAAAAAAAAGTAATTTTTAATTACACTTTTTTACATTTCAGTAAGCGTTTGATAAAGAAAATGATGGTATGTAGACATGGGTAGGTATACTGTTTATCTCATAGACTAAACTGACAGGTGTAAATATTTAATTTTCAAATAATCAAGAATATCAAAACATGGAGACATGGCTGAAAGAGCGCAGTTTCTTTGCCTTTCCGTTAAAGGGTAAACAAAAAAATCATAATAACTGTAGTGTTTTAGTGCTGTACCGATGAAACTGATATGTAGAACCTTTATTTAAATTTTTTTTTAAGTTATCACAACATATTATTAAAACATCTGCATACACTAGTATCTCAATTGTAGTTTTTGTATAAAACAACACAAGAATATTGATGAATAATAATGATAATAAGAACATTATGGTTTCGTTCGTGGTTTACTGAAATTTATGTACACTACGTTTTAAATAAATATCCACACATTGTTTCCGTAAAACCAATAACAATCAGTAATTAATATCAATTTCTGATAGTGGCACAACACTACTTAAGAATTGCAAAAACACAACATGAGTAATGTCAATTTTGTGTTAGAGATAAAAAATCAGACTATAGAGTAATTGTTAATTACTTATTTTTGGCGGATGCACTTTGTGCTAAGTCATTTAAAAAAACTATATATGTTAGGTTAATAGAAGAGTTAAGCGAGTGAAGCTTAGTTAAATTCGCTATGTTATAATTTTACACTTATACAAGTTGTTTAGGTATAATTTTACACCTAATATTTATTATTTGAAGCAGATTAAAATATTTTTATACTATACTTTTATATACTATATTCTCTACTATACTGTAGAATCGTTCGTAATTTTTTAATTACGAACGATTCTACAGTTATAATTACGAGTTTTCTAACCCCAAAATCATTAATGTGTTGCAATTAAAAATTGTTGCTAACACTTTTACATAAATGAAGGATTGGAGTTTATAAATAGAGACTTTATAATAATAAGGTAAAAGGTTTATAATAATATCGGTTTCTAAGCCTATTTTGCTTTTCAATAAAAAGAAACTGAATCTTGATTGATTACTGATAAAATTTATCATATACATGCCTAAGATATTACTTTTAATCATAAGTAGATAATTACAGGATAAAACAATGTACATGTGAATACACATGAAATTGAATTTCTGGTCCTTTGAATCAAATATGCCCTGTTGGAATTGTAACGTTTACCATTCTCAAGGAAATAGCATTGAATCAGTAATCAATATTCTCTCATATATGTAGTTAGTATTGAACAAAAATTAAGGTTACAATTTCAATAACACCTAAAGTAAGTATGAAATACTTTTTTTACGATTGTGTTGTGGCGAAAAATTAAACAATACGCATTTGGATATAACTTTACATTACATATAATATAAATAAATAGTTACTTAGGATAATTTATACAGTGCCGTCTAAAATCACTAGGCCACTGAGAGACAAATAAATCAAAAGTATTTAATTTATTATATAGATATTAATAATATTGTCCCATGTTATTATAAAATACTTCTGAGAAGTCATGCTAATACTGTTTACTAAAAATTCTGCAGAAACAGTTATATACGTAGAAGCTACATTTTAATAAGGCATTTGTATAGTAAATTTAAGCTCTGAAACGTACAATTATGTACTGAAGTTATCACAAAACACCAAATTAACCTTCTTATTCAATAAAACAAACAACTTACAAGCGCGCTATCAAATATTGCAGTATTATTTCAATGTCATTCAAATTAAAATAAAATGTTATAAGAAAAGGTTAGGTACTATTTCATGAGTAAGGGCGTTAGTGTTTTAGTCGCTCTAATAATTCGATTAATGAATACTATTTAGAATGGTGAATAAATAATAGAAAGCATTCAGTGGTATAATCACATCGTTTATTAATAAATGTATCTTATTGCATGAATGTTCATAAGCTAAGGAGTTCCAGCTTGGCATGGCAACACTTGGCGTCCTTTGCACCCAGTAAATATATACGACAGATTAAACATAGGCACGTGTGTATAAGCCAAACTCGCGGGATAAGACGGCGGCTGTAGCTAGTACAATCAGCACCACAGCGGATTATTGATATACCTATTAATTACAAGGATGAGTGTTACAATAAAACATATTAATGTAACATAACAAATGTTACACAAACATGTTCTATGTTATACCTCGTTATTATCACATTGAATTAGTTAAGATGTAATGCTCGTTACTGTGCGGAATTAAACTTACCTAGTTATTTATTAACAATGTTTAATGCGTAAGGTGAAAGGACAAAGCACCACTACTTTAATATTACAAAGTATTATTATAATGGTAAGCAAAGCAGGTGTATTAATACAAAAATATAAGGAATAATGTGTATGTGTGTGTATAAAAGTAGTAAAATAGGTATATACGATTCAACTTCGTACCAGTAACGACTCAATCCCCGATTTATAAACGTATATAAAACTTCTATCAAACGTAAGCGTCTTGAGGATATTGAATGTCCAGAACTGAGTTTTTCTGGTATTAGAAGTTGCTTGTAATGTTAATATACCTTATGAAATGTTAAACAACAAACAAACGGTATCTTTAACGATTTTTTTTAATTTAAATAGTCCAAATGACCGACAAACTATTTATATTATGTATATGTTCTTGCCTTGTTCATTTAACTATGTTCTATAATTTGTTCTGTTTATCAAATCACCCTATGCATTAACCGCGAAAATGCTTATGTTATGTAACAAAAATAGCATTATATATTATTATTATTATTATTATAAAGTACATAACACGAGCATACTCTCTCGAATGGTGTCATGTTACATCTTAACGTTCATTCTGAGAAAATTCTAGTGAATATCGCCCTAAAAAGTTCTCCTTTCAATACAGTTACGACGTGATCTATTAAATTTCTTGTATTTCATTATTACACCTAGACCATTATTGCTGAAATGTGGTCGATAGTTATTCTAGAACTGTATACACACTGCGTACGAAAACTTAATACAGTGGTCATATACCGACTATAAAACGTTACAATTCTAGTACAACTGCCGAAAACATTGTTATTTCTTAGTGCTAACGTGTAAAAAGTTATATCCAAGCTATGTAAAGGCATTGTAAAATTGTACCTAATAATAATATTAACCCTGGACATACTATATAATGTTACAGTAAGATACAATGTAGGCAATATATCCATCTCTAACCGGTAGTGTCATATATCCCTTACAAGAAATACAATAATGAAACACAAAATCATTTTATAGATAGCGTAGTTACATTTAAAAACAAGGAGAACCTCTTAAATATTCACTCATAACAACTATACCGACACAAATAGTACCTTATCTTTTGAATTTGGACTTTTTCCGTCTAATTACAAAAAGATAGACTTGACTTCAACACCAGCAATAAACAAAGTCCTAAAGTAAAGATAGATCTGCGATGGTCATAGTTTAATAGTGGTCTATCTATGAAACGTCAGTCTTTTCATTTAGTTTACTTAATTCAGTTGAATTAATTTGTACTAAGATGAAAAATTATTGCTAATAGGATTTATTTATTACTTTTAAGATTAAAATGTAAATGTATCTACTTACTAAACCGTGTACAACTACAATATTGTCTTTAATAAAAAAGTTTAAAAATTATTTTCTTTTAGGACAATTTTTGGGCGTGCCATATTGTTTTTAAAAGTATATTATTGAAACCACTAGAAAAACCAGTAATTAGAATTTTACACACTGGTTATTAAAAAATGTGACAAAAATAATTCAGTCACATTTTTGCTTAATTAAATAGTATAATAATAATACAGCAACCATACTAAAGTCTAATTTTTATTAGCGAAGCGGAGATTTAAGTGTATTTTGATTTAGAATTGCTAATAATAATATCCCAGGATAAGTCACAAAAGCTTGTGTTATGGGATAAATATACATAGATATTTTTTTTATAAATACATATATAATAAACATCGGAATTACCAAAACCAATAGATTATTGTTATATATTATATCATTTATGAAATATACTAAAAATTTTACAAGTTTTAACTTTATGAATAATTTAATCCTCGACCCTTAATATCAGGTATGGACAGATTTTTTGTAACTAGTGTATGCCCAGTGGTCGAAATTCTACCATAATTAAAATTATAAGTTTGAATATTATATTAAAGTTCCATTGTCAAGTACATGGTAGTGTATTTAATTTTTTATTGATATGCATAACTTAAATGTCGATTTTCCACATTCTGCATTCCTTTTCTACATAAACCATAAGTGTGGGATATTTCATACTCCTCCGTACGCGCAATTTTCATAAAAAAGTGTACAAAGTTTTTGCTTTACATGTATAGATAAGGCCCTGTGTGTTTATAATACATTTCATTACGAAAAGAAATTATTGGAGACTAGCATGAATGTCCCTATAATTGTGCATTGTAAGGTCCAAATTCAAGTGACAATTTGTAGTGCTAACAGTGCAGTTGTAATGAGTAAACAATATCGCAGTGTCAATATAAAAGTACAGACTGTATACTAATAAGGCTCGCCGCAGCCGCCAACCGCGAGTAACTAGTAAAATGGACACCGCAATCGACAAAAAATCCTATTAAAGACTTGGGCGTATGCCCAATACAATTGATACGAAGGTACGCCACACAGCCGGTACCGTGCCATACTGATTCAAGGATATCGGTGTACAGAAATCGCATAATAATCTTTTATCACAAGTCTGAGTGAACTGTACAGGAGTTCTAAACATTTGGCATTGTTACATTTCTAAACGTTACATTCAGATGTACTAAGCAAAATAAACACTTATGATTATCCCAAAATGTGTAATAATAAGAAAGGCTTAAATATTTTAACATTTTTGTTTATACATTTTGGTATTTAACCAGAGGTTCTTTTAGGCACTAAAATTTGTTTATTACATTCTGTTACTGGTTCGCCAAATTCGTAACTAATACAAAACTCGGAGGCATGGTGACTTCTGATGGATATTTTATAAAGGTTTAGTGTCAGATCCATGTGAATTTAGCATGCCAAGATTTCAGTACAGATACAATCTGACAGCCACCGGGGATAAATGTTAAAGACTAGTAATATAATAATACCTATACCCGAAGATCCGGGACTTCATACACTACAACATCAATTAAATGATTATTATCTCTATTACTATGTCTGGTTACATAAACATAGATATTATAAAAATTACGCAAATAAAACATTGTCGTTTTAAAAGCGTACAAGCATAAAACATTTGTTCAAAATTCTCGTCGTTTCTTTGGGTTCTATTTTTACAATAAGCATAATAAAATTACACGTTACATATTTCAAACAAACCAAAGTATTGAACGACAATTTAACACCAAAATAGTAACGTGTAACGCCAATAGTGCCACACGCCGAAATGTTAAAAGCTTAATATAAGTAAAAAAATTATAATGGAAACAAGCACACTCATTTAGACAGCAATGTAGTTCTTTACTCATAATGTGACCACCGATGATGACCGAATAGGTGAAGAAAGAAAATGACTGATCATAATAGTTCCAGAGACATGTCATTTATTACAATTATACAATTAAATTCGTCTAGCAAAACAAATTCACATATGTTTTATACGACAGACCACATATTACCCTATCAAATCCGAACATTGAACGAAAGCGCGAGTCAATTTATTTAAAATACACTACACTACCTACACCTGCAAATTGGTAATTGTGTTCAATCAATGGATAATTAAAACGAAGATTAAAGAATGATTTTATTTTATAGAATATTTTTAGCGCTTGTTATTTATTCGGCCTGAGGGTGTTCATGTACAATGTTACAAATGAACTAAACTGAACGTAACTCAAAATGGGAACTGTCACACATGTCGAACTCATAGAGAATATGTACAATGAACTACAACATGTAACACTTGACGGCTCTACGAACATGTCTCCGGAACTGGGTTCTATAAATAAAATACATAACAAAAATTAATCACAAATGTTCAATTAACGGAAAAAATTAGCACTTACGCATGATACGTTGATCTTTGAATCGATAAACAAATACTGATTTAATCAATTTGTCAGAGTATACAATACTTTTATTTGTACCTGTCATTTGTTGTTAGTCTTACAATAAAAAAGTATAATCCATTTGAATCAGTACTGAAGTGTTAAAACATACGAATCTCCTTCCTGACGAAAAGGAATGAACGTCATGGCTGCAGAGGCTAAACAATTTCCACGAACCTAGTTACATTACATACTTTACCTCAAACCAAACCAACGTTCCCGGTTCAATCCATTTCGAGGGTATGATTTGCACAATTTTAATTGATTGATTGCATTTTGTTTATTTTAGGTGTCAAATTACTCGTCAACAACGACACATAGAGATCACACTCGCCACCAATTTTACACAAAAGCAACAAACTAAATGTATAAATACATAACTTGCCGTGAACAAACATGTTAATACTATCATTAAAGATCATCTGCATTGTTATTTTTATGTTATCAAATTGATCTTAAAGTTGATTTCAAACTTAATAAAACAAAATATTTACATAAATAAAACTTTATAATACTAATGACATTTGTAATGCGTCCGATTAACTCAAATACGTATGTCATCAAACTTATTCGATGTAAATGTTTGTACAAATAGCTGTACCGTCCCTGAGGACAAGAGGTAATCATTGAAGTGAATAAAGACGGTGCTACAACCAATCCAAATTCATAATACTCCTGTGGGTACATGAGTGTTCACAACATACAGTAAATTATAATAATCTAATCCCAATATCATTATTGTAATAAATATTTTTTTCAGTCTTTGGTTCCATCCAGTGCATCGCATTTGTTATCGTATAAATGCTTCGTATCCGATTATTATACAATAGCTAAGGCATAATTTTATTCGTTAATGTAATTACAAAATTAGCTATTGACAGAATTATTAATACTGGCGACACATACCAGATGAAGTGCCCGTTAGGGAGTGACTTGAATAAAATAATACTATAAGACTAGCCGTTGTCCAGTGCGGACTATATTTATATCATTGTTATACATTTTTATTGCACACGTATAATTTTCATAAATCACAGAATGTTCCGCATAAAGAGATCGACTAAACGTAACAAAAAATAGCAACAAATGTTTTGTAGATACGTATTACACGGAGCACAGTCGCACAGGCAATGCAATATACAGAGTATTATATGTATACAGAGTAAATCTTTTAACCAACCGTTGTCAGTTACCCATTACGTAGGAACACAAATATAAACAACACATTTTACATCACCCTGTCTATACTTATAGTGATGTTCACAATATTTTTCATAGAGTTCCTGTTTCCATTTCACTAATACCTCTTTCTAGATAGAGCTAGCGCTCAAGTTTACTATCTGTATACATGCAATGGTCTGTAGTTACAGCACTGGCGACCACTGAACAAGCCCACCGCATCACATGCAACCACAATTCAAACGATTACAACTAAGTTATACAAATATTTACACGAGTTCGGGTGAAGCGAAGTGTTAATGTTGTTCACCGAAGATACAACACTTCATATGTTATGTGTCGTCATCCGTACAATGCAATTGAACTTGGCAAACCATAATAAAATACTCAGGAATGGTACAAACGGAATTTTGAACAATGTGTATACGCGAAAAAGAACCTCTTATTTAGAACAATTTCATTAATGCACTATACTTGCATACGCAACATAAATCGGTTTGATTACCTTGATATGTTATAAGTTTCAATAAAAGCCTAAACTCGGTGACATACAATTATTTTATGAATGGACAGATAACAACTTATTACCAGTTATCTGCCCTTGTGTAATTAAAACAAATCGATTTTAAATGCTGGCTAGAGAAATTGATAATCAGTCTCACATGAATACAATGAAATAATTTGAAAATCAAACCATTATGATGTTACCTACATAGCTGTAGAGTGTTGAGGCCTTGGTATTATTAGCGTAACTGGTCTCACTCGGCTAACAGATCTGGAATATAACGTTAAATTATATTATATCAACTGATTCTCTTGTATTCTGGTACTTTTTACATTAAAGATCATGATAAGTGTATATAAGCTTAATAAAAAGCAATTTTCATTATAAAGTAGGTAAAGGACAAAACACCTAGACTTTAGTACTAAATAAATAATATCCTATATTGGTGTAAAGTTTCATCAAAATCCGTTCAGTAGTTTTTGCGTGAAAGAGTAACAAACATCTATACTTACAAACTTTCGCGTTTATAATATTATTAACACAAAGAATTATATTATAGTCTTTGGTCCATAGACAAATGTACGCCATTTTACAATATTGATTAATTATTATAAAAGGGCGGTAAAGCACGCCCGATTGATCGATGCGGGCATGCGCTGATCGGCGTATCGCGATCTTTCTCGTTCTCGTTGTCTACATTTACATGCACATTTTTTCTGCGTTATCACACAGCGCGTTAGTCTATTTGCGCGTGAAAGAGGGTACAAGTAAAGGCTGCTATTCATATGTAAATAAAGTTTCTTTGAAAAAAAAAAGAAATTAAATTTCTTGCCATTTCTTCTCAATTGAATCTTTATACTGACTGGACGGTAGGGAAAATATTAATATATAAAATTATGTTCATAAGGGGCTAAAATGTCCTAAGTACATGAATAAATAATTTTTGATTTTGATTTTGAAATCTGAATTATTTATTATTAATCCGAAACAAGCTGTCGGATGCTAAGATTTTCTATTTTAATTTATTTCAGGTATTTAGTAGGCAATGTTGATATCTAGGGAGAATATAAAAAAATTGAATGTCCTACAAGTATAAATGATTTTTTATTTAATTTGAAAGGAATAAAATTTTCGTACCAGCAATGGGCCGACGAGGACGAAATCCGCGACTGCCGTCGGGTCCGCGAGGCGTTCGGATGACTACGACGCGCGGACCAGCAGATTCCTCCTGCGACGCGGTCCGCAGCCGGGCCAACAGTCGCTCAGGTCTTTCACGTGGAACCTTGCTGCTGACAATGTATATTTTTTATTATAGCACAGGGGACAAACGATTTTGAGGTTCACCTTACGGTAAATGATTACTGTCGCCCATGAACGGCAGGGGAATTTCATTTGTATAAACAAAGTAAAAACATTTTAAATAAAGTACGCGTAAAAATTCGAGAATCTTAGAATAGTGAAAACATGTTACATAATTTCGTTATTAACGACGTTGTAACATAAGATGTTACAACGTCGTTAATAACGAAAAGAATCTGTTAAGAAAATATAAATTTCTTCTTTAGTTGTAAGTCCAGCAATGGCATTTCCAAACCAATATAATATTGAAACCTTCAAAAGCTTATTCCTTCTTAATAGGCCGGCAACGCACTTGGAATTTCCCTGGTTTTGCAGGTGCTCATGGGCGGCAATAGCTTACCTTGAGCTCATTTGTATCGTTATAAAATCAGTAAAAAAAATCGGTTCCCAAGCATATAACTGCTTTTACTTCAATAGTGTGTAAAGTCCCTTCAACCGTTAAAGGGACATTCGTTTTTACTAACCTAATTTTCACCACATTGCAAGCTGACGACTTTCCGTTCCTGGGGTTGGTGAGCATGACGAACTCGACTGTGTCACCGGGCTGGAGTTCACCCGAGTTTCCGCGAACCTCCGACATATGGAAGAACAGACGACGATTTTCCTCCGACTCGACGTTCAGGAATCCGAATAAGCCTGTGAATCGGTAATTATTCAAAATAAACAAACAGGGCACGGCATGTACACTACATTAAAGCTTTTAAGTTGGTTGCTCTAATTGACTACCTAAATAATTTCGCCACAATATACCGTATAAAATATTTATTAATTACTTAATTACATTGTTGACACCAGGCTCGAGTTATCCTAGCGTTGGCGAGAAATAAAATTAGGTGGGCTTACTTGTAGGTAGGTCTATATTTAAAAAAAAGTTAAAGTATAACCAAATTAGTTTGACACAATAATTCAATATCATTTTTTAATATATTTGTCCATGGGAGAAAATAACGAGATAACTGCGAATAGGGATGAATGGAAGGAAAACCATATTACGCCGTCCCCAAATAAATGGTATAAGGAAGAAGCAGATGATGGTCCATCTAGTGAGCTCCCATTTTTTGTTGCTAATTTCCACACAATAACGTCAACGTTTTTCTTTGAAGCGTTACTGAATAAACAATGGGGAGAGTGTAGAGATCGCTTCAAACATGCGGAGGACTTATGAAGCAGCTGAAGGTCACAATCCATACCTGATAGATCGTTTAGAATTTTAGTAAGTAGTTAGTGACACAATGTAAAATAAAATGTAAACAACTGTTTTTAATGTGTTTTAATTATTTAAAAGTTATAAATAAATCACCTTTAATGGCGTCCACAGTTGCGCGGCGCTTCTTCCTTATTGGCACAATATTGGTGGCCCTTCCCTGCAAGTCTGCTTGGAAAGTGACCGGATCGCCTACTTGCAGTATCTCGCGCTTGCATGCTAGACCCATAATACCGAATTCGTACGACACCCGTTCTCTATCCTGTCCCTGTAGATCCTGTTGAATTATACCTGTGAAACCAAATACCTTTGTTTTATTTGAGTATACTAGATCGGGGAGGGAGGAGGGGGCGTGTACCATGTCAGGTTGACCTGAGTGCAGATCCCCCCTAATCACCATCGTGATAAATTCCTGGTGAATTTGTCACGTCATAGGCATACCGTGTTTTGTCTATTTGACATAATAATATGTAGCGAATGTATGTTATTCACTTCAGTACAGTGCAGGACAGTGAATGTAAATATTCTAAATTTGGCAAAATAAAGCTTTATTATCTATTTATCCTAAAGTTACAAAGCAAAAATTGATTGGCACAAATAACTGGAGGATAGAAATACATATGCAGATAACTATATTCAAACATTACCCTAGCAAAATTAATGTACACATGTTAAAAGAACTCACCGGAATAATGCGCTTGGTCAGGATTAAGAGCTCGAAGGGTTCTGGTCACAGTGCCGTTGAGAATCGGCTCTAGGGGTTGGGCGAGATGTACGGTGCCCTTGGGCAACACGCGAACCATTTCGGCACTTGCGCACCCGCTCCCCGAACCAGCACGTCCTACGTAGTACTCCACTTCGCCGCCGAGATCGAGATCATCAGGATTGCCATTTAGATTGCTGGAATGGAATATAATAAAAAAAATCTTAGCTTGTTTCGTCATTTTCGAACTATAGGTCATCAGAATTATCAATTAGGTGTAAGATTTATAATACTGAAATCAATTATTATAAATATTTATAATAATTGATAGAGAATTTAATTCGTTAATTTCAAAATAATTTATTAATGTAAATGAATTAATATTTTATTCATATAAAAGAGTCCAGTTTAGTATATAGATTCAATTTAGCAATTTACATAGCAAGAAACTCAACAGATTTTTTTTAAAGTGAGTTTTTTATCCTTTTAATTATATAAGTCTATGTCTAATATTAAATGAAAATTTCGAACAAATATTGCCCGTTCTCGGGTAACTACAGAAACTATATTTATAATTATTATCATTTATTACAACTACCTAATGTAATCATACTTGAAAACATACAATAATGATAAAGAAAGAAAAACCATTGCAAATATAGACCAAGATTGAAGATTCAGATCTGATTTTTTTTCTTATAGAATGATGGCACGTTTATTCTTTATGCTGAGGCTATGTCCAATTAGCTGTTTTGAGAATTCACAATAATTTTGTGGTGCATAACAAGGAATTTAGAACTCGCAGTTCACCAATCTATTAAATTTATAACTCAGACCCATACCATTCAAATCTTAAAGATGTAAGGGACATGGGAATGAAGTAAGATATGGTAAAATATATATCTTCTACAAATAATTCAACAGCCAAAATACTTATAACATAAAAATAAAAATATAACATAGTACTGGTGGTAAAAGCTAAGACATCAAATATACAGATAAATATCAACTGATAGCTATACAAATAACATATGAGAAAAACTATTATTGGGTTTTATAAACATAATAGAAGCCAACAAAATTTTAGACTTTCGTCTGCGTGTAAGAACGCGCTAAACTTAGAAACGGCTTAACTGTTTTAGGTGCGGTTTTCTTGCTAATCATCACTTAAGTTTTAAAGTCTATTTTAAACCAATCGCTTTACGAACAAAAAGTTAAACTATTATTATTCTGATTATCACGGGTACAAACTCGCAGCCTCTGCAAATATGTAATAATTTAAAAAACTGTGCGTTTAGCGATAGGAATATTATAGCATATGATTATGCATACTTTATTAAATTTATTAGCATATTCATAAGCATTCATTTATTTTATACTTTGAAATTAGAAATTAGACAAATATTCATCTTTCGCATTTAGTAAAATTTAATACTAACTATTACCTTCATAATATAATATACACTAAAGTTTGTAAGTATGGATCTTTGTTACTCTTTCAAGCAAAATCAACTGAACGGATTTCATTGATACTTCAGTAATATAGCTTATGCATCAGAATAACATACAGGCTATATTTTTTGTTTAAATTTGTATATTGAAATTTAACGCAGGCGAAACCGTAGGCACAGCTTGTAAAATAATAAGTTAATGTATAGTTTTGCCCAAGTTTGCCTTACCATACTACATGTTAACATTAACTTCGCTACACTCTAGTAGAAACAAAGATCTACGCTATAACTGGGACTAGTGAAATATACAGAACAAAAGCAAGTAGAGTTATATAAATAGATAAAAAATTAACAACAGACGCAAAATAACAATACTAATACTAAAAAATAGAACAAAACTAAGCTTACAAAAATAGAAATGCAATGTTGCATGTGATGTCGACAAAATGCAGTATTATACTACACAGTGATATACATATATATAACTGATCGCTGTCTGTACTGTAGAAAGATGTAAGTTAACTATTATTGGGTATTTATTTTTAATATTTTTTATTGGGTAACTTTATTAATATCTTTCAACCCAAAAGAATAAGTTTTCAATATTCGTCCGTTCATCTGTGCATGATTAAATAATTTGTGTGCGGTTTTAACGTACTGTAGCAAGCTACACTTAAAATTCGTTACGTTATTTTGATTGATTTACAAAAAAATATATAAGGGTACAAAATCGCAGATATAAAATAAATATATATATAAAAAATCAACATTAAATCACAAAAAGCACATAAAAATACACTGCAAAACGTTAATTTATACTATACTACTACATAATACTGAGAAAATATAAATGTAGACAATAATGTCGGTAGAAGGTCTAAAATTATTTCTTCATCTTGGTTAAAGGATAAAAAACGATTCTAAAAAGTATTATTTATCGACGCAAAGCGGTTTAATTACTAAAAAATGTTATAAAATAGTAATTATCATAATCAGTAAGGGCAAAATATTTTATATATACATTTATAATAGTTTGTCCTTACTACATAATTAATAAACGCACAGCCTAAACTAGGGATTAGAACCTGAAATTATGACAACTGATATATTTAACGTATTTATGAAAATCCACAATCAAACTTGATATGGGAATATAATTTTATTTAAAGAAACATTTAATTTACAGTAAATTAAAACATACTTTAGTTGTTTAAAATCCGCCTATATTCAATTATTTTTTCTACCTATATTTGTCAAATTGCTATTAGCGGACAAATATAGGTAAAAGAAAATATAATATATATTCAGGTAACCCAATAATCAGCTTAATGCTATTTATAACTTTACAAAGCACAATATAGTATACTATTTGGCATTTGGCATTAATGATTATATGTAATAATTATAATGAAACACATTGATAGCAGTACGGGGTACGGGGTACGGGGTATTGATAGGGAACAATAATTGGTGGCTATTTTTTTTATCATAACATATATATTAATATAAATTAACAGCAAATGAACAGCAATCTTGATAGCATAAAATTTATAACTCTATTCAAGTAAAAAATAGCAGTTATATAATGAAGCCATATATAAAACATCGCGAATATAATACTTTTATGTGTGTGTCAAATAAATGGTAGGGTGTGTGATGTTTTTTATAGATAATGTATTTTTCATGGATAATTAAAAAAATATTAGTAGTCTGCATTCCTCTATATAAAGAAACTGTAAGTGTGCGAGATTTTATACTCCTCCGTCATCGCAATTTTCGTAAAAAGGGATAGTCTTTATTTGCCATATTAATATATAAATATAGTTTCATATTTCAGTACACACCAACACAATTTACATATGATTTAAGTACGATATACAAATCCCTGTAATGCATTATTAAACAAAAAAATATTACATTTATATATTTTAGGTACATACAAAGGAGTTTTAAGTATTGATACCCACCTAAAGTGAAAGAAGACTTCCTTGGTGTGATCTGCTGTTTCGATGAAGCCGAATCCGTCCTTCAGAGCGGCAATGAAGCCTTGCAAGAGCGGGCGCGATGTCCCCACATTATTACCGGAGTTCCCATTGCTTGAGTAAAGCTGAACTACGATTGACATAGCTGTAAACGCTTTTGTTCTCTTGACCTGTCATTGATATAAAATAATTTATATATTTATATGCTGTATATAAACATAGTGTTACATCATTCTTAACAAAGACAGGTAATTGAAAAATAACAAACTGTAATAAATGAAAGAGTTAGTTTATATATGAGTTAGTTCTACATGTACAAGACATTATATTAAAATTCGTCTCTCTGTTTAAATTTCCTGTTCCACCCACTCGTATTATTTTTCAATATAAAAGTTGTTCTTCCTCATAATACAATCGATTTTCATGTCAAATTTACTTAAGATGCGTTCAGCCGTTTACTTATGATTCTAATGAGAAGGTAACCAACAGGCACACTTTTTCATTTATAGTATTAATATGGACTAATGTTTCATAACATACCTGATAAACGTCACAAAGCACTTTATCACCAACACGCGGCACGACTTTACCTTCACATTTTTTAGCCATGAAAGATGCCGATTTCTTCGATCCATTAATTTGGCATGAGATAGTACCATTATAATCCTGTATAACATAAAAAACATTAATACAATTTTCTATGTAAATATTCAACAGAGCATAACATGAGTACTATCAATTAGTAAAAGGCAGCAAAAAAGTATTTCAGTATAAGTAATATTTTTAAGTTGAAATGTAAAATGTGAAATTATCATATCTTACATTTACTGTAATTAGAGTTCTGAGGCATGACACAGAAGTCTTTAGGAAGAACAACAAAGAGGGGTACCACAAAATGCCTGATGCAGATGTTTTCGGTGTTGTGGTAGTTATATAATAAACAAAAAATAAAATAACTTATTGAAATCGCCTAACATTCAAAGATAATAATTAAAAATGAAAATTACGTATTGATTTTATATACTACATAGTGTCTCTGTCTGTGCCACATATGTCATTGTTCACATTGCACGGCAAAGTGAATTTAAAATTATTGTAGCCGGGTATAATTTTAGAAATTAGTAGCGAGTGAATTACTAATAAATTATGACTTAGTCATAATTTATTTACATGGCTTCATCTTGGTATTACGCTGTTTGTAATTTTAAAGTTGCAAAATATGTATGTTTGTTATAAAAGAGCCACAGTAAATTGTTATCTATTTCTTCTCAGTTAAATCTAAAGTCTACAATACGACAGGTGTGACGACAGGTTTATAAAGAAATTACTATTTACGTGCTTGCATTAAAATAATTACATGTTTTTTCGTTTATGTAACTGGAAACAAGCTGACGTACCACTAATATCATAAGTGATAAATGTCGCCTACATACACGAACAGGATCACTGACATCGCGTTATCATAACCTGTATTTAACTGTTACTACTAAGTATATTTTTCTATGGCATACGCAGTATATTAATAAATTTATAAAGAAAATATATATGCATTTTTTTCTGCTATACAATAATGTTTATAAACAAAAATCTTGGTACCATACACTTGATGCCATTCTGACAAACAATCAACTGAATAGTTACATTTAGATAAAATAAATACATATTCTAATGTTAGCATTAGACAATTAACTTACAGATGGTGAGCCCCTTGAGGGGCTAGACATAGAGTTGAAGACCTGTGCCTCTTTGGTGACCACACCGCGGACATTGCGCTCAACCAGCGTCTCGAACTGAACTGTACCAGCCGGTAGATGCTTGATACGTATTCCGGACTGACGAGTATTACTCATATTGGAGAACGTAGCCACTGGATCCACGGTAAATTCCACCTATAATTAATTTCCAACACTGTAAATACTATATCAAACTTAACTTAACTTATACATTATGATAATATTATGTATGAGCTCCTTATATTTTGACGCTGCTGATAGTTCGACCGCCTGTCAATGTAATATAATATTATCGTGGTAAATATCTTTAATATGTGTAAAACACCATATATATTTTATAACTATGTACGATATACTATGTACTATGTTAACGAAAACATAGGTACGTTTATTAAATTGGTTTTTGTATGTCGTAACTATAATAATAATTTTAAATTCAATACATATATGATGTTATTAAAACATATCCCGTATAAAATATATTTAAATCAAGCGTCCAAATCTTAAAGTTGAATTATCTTTAAGTATTAAATTATTGATTGTTTATATAATTATTGTATTTCATTCTATAAATAATTTTATCGAGATAGAAGTATATTTTTTTATCTTTATTATATATATGGTGATATAGGTACTGTCGTAATAACGATATTCATAGAACTCCCGCGTTGATAGAAAATATAATACCTTACCTCATCACCAACGCTAAGTTTGTGTCCCATGCGCAGAACTTCAGCAAAATGAAAGAACATATTCTGTTCCCTGTCAACACAACGAATGAACCCGAAACCATCTCTTAGTGAACACACAATGCCTTGCTCCCTTCTGTAATGTCATACAAAGATTTCCATAGTACACTCACACATTACACTCATTATTAAGAATTACACTCATAGTTTCTTATTGTAGCATAATTGTAGTCAATAAAGAAATTGGTTTAATGGGTCATTTATCTACGATTCCATATCAGTAGCAACAACTGTCAATACAAACGCTTAACATTCCCACATTTAGATAAGTATATGAAATAGAAATTAAAAAAGCCTTTATTCATATTCAGACTGATGGTCTCCTATTGATTTAAATTGTTTATTTCATTTATTTTTACTGACAAAATTTCCTATCATTATGTTACGATTATTATAAATTTTCCATTAATTGTCAATTTTCTGTTTCTATTTTCCAGCTTGCCATTACAAGTAAGATATTTTAATCATTTATGTATTTATGTGAGAGATTTTTTTTCTCTATCGCATAAATGCATAACATATCCATATTCATATTTTGTTTTTATTCTTTGCACAAATATTTTTTCCCTATCATCTATTAGTACATTTGACAACGTAGCAGGATAGGTGCTTTGATGAAGATATTCAGTGGACACACAGCAGTAAATATAATATACTCTTGGTCACATCAGAGTAGTATATACAAAAGATTCGAACAGAATACCATTGAGTTAGAGAAGCCGGGTGGTAAACGAGGCCATGTCGCTTTAGATTTAATAAGAATCAGTAAATATGATTAGTTACTTATGTTCAACCTCACAATGATTTGATTTACTCGCGAATTGTCAACGAGACCATCAATTGGCATTCAAAGTGTGTCACTGACAAATCATTCAGGCGCAGTGCTCAATAGCACAGTTGGTAGGAATAAATCAATTGAATTTCACAGTTCGTATCCATACAATCTTTGATCTTTGATGATATTAAAGTTGATTCAAGATATTCCGAATTTATGTGTTATTGTTGAATTTATCGATTTCATATTTCAGAGAATTTTTCTGTAATTCAAATCAGACGAGGTAATAAAAAGTTTAGGACAATGATTAGCCTACCCTTTCAATAAAAATATAAAGATTGAATGAGTGGTCACAAAACCACCTAAACTAATTTTATGACAACTATTAAGGGGTTTTAGGCGTGTAAGCCGTAACTAACAAACTCACTTTCTCATTTATAATATCAGTTACGATTCCTATTAGTCAGTGGCAGTATCAATAAATGTAGTTTTTATTAATAAAATTATAAATGAACTGCGTTACATTTCTCCCGTTGAACAGTTTTTTTATCAACATTGTTGAATAATATTTTTATAGCAACTCTGCCGCTATTGGTTGGAGCATGATATTACATACCCTACACCTTTCCTCGATAAATCCAATACTATATAGGTTCAAAATATTATTGATAGTACCGGAATTCACCCCGAAAATCCAACCTCACAAACAACTTAATCACTTTATAGTATTCGTATAGACAGATGTACATATAACAATGATTTATTATACATGTACGGTACAGTGTTGAATACAAAAGAATATAAAAGATGTGACACTCGTAAAGTGACACACAAATAATGTTCAGTGTACGTTATCAATGGTACGGACGGCGACTTCCGTAGTACCATCATTGCAGGCCCGCACCGACTGAATGCAGTCGAATCAAAATGATACAGAAATGCATTAACAATACAGTCAAACTGGTTTTAACACCAATGATTCTATGGTAAAGAAGGGTATTTACTATTTGTTTATTTACCATACAATTATTTGTGCTAAAACCTGTTTCACTATATTAATAATGTGCACCAAACGGGAAAGTTTAATAATAAGAAACAGGAATGATTTAAACAGGTACACTTGTGTAAATGTGGTGAAGAAATTTAAAACCTTTCATTACTTGAATGGTTTTAAGAAAGAAATTATTTGCTTTGACGGTCTAACCGGCTGAATAATTAACGTAATGTTACGATGATACGACGAGGACGGATATCTTTAAATAATAATTAATCTAGGAGTGAAATAGCGGATGAAAACTTTTTGTAATACATATTTTTGGAAATTTAATCACACAGATTATGAAGGCGTGAGGTATTGTTAACAATGGAAACTACAGGCTCCGTTGATAACCCGTGGCCTAGTTTACTGCTCTAAATTAGCCCAAGAGGACTACAGTTCAAATCAGGACGACACAAAAAAACTTTGTGAGTGAATTCATATTTCTGACTGACTCTATGGTGTGAAGGAAACTCCGATAACAAACTAAAAATTTACTCTCGAGGCGGCAAATAAAGTGTGCGAAATGTGAGTGTGTCGACTGGCGCGTTAAATCGACAACTGCCAACCGCGTCTGGGCTAACAGTCGGAACGGTATAAATGGCCTTATTGATAGCAATGTTCATCGTATGCTATTATCGCAGACCAATGCACAATTATATTAACAAACGTAAAAAAACAACAGATTAGATTTGTAGCGGTACCATGCATGGTAGTTATAAACTTACCGTTCTCCGGAAACATTAAAAGATTCATCGAGCAATGAAATATTTGTAGCTCGCTTCAACTGGTCCCGTCTATCTGTAGCTACTTGGAATTGCACCCAATCACCGTGACGCAGAGTGAACTCGCCGCACTGGTCTTTATCGCCAAACGGTACCTTTGTGAACAATATTATTATTATTATAATATATTTCCTCTTTTTATATGTATTTTATAGATGACAAACAAGCAGGCGGACAACCTGACGGTAAGCAACCATCTCCTATATATAAACAATACCATGTACCATCACATCATCATAAACTAACTCCCCTCTGATCGACCACCGTCCAATTCAAACAGGGAACGAATTTTGACAGCCTGAGCCGAATTCATATTCGAATCGCTAGTGATGCCCTCAAACTAAAGTCGTATCCTACAGGTGGAAGTTGGTCTTCATCCGTTTGGAATGTCATCTGCACTCGCCCCCTATCGTGCAGTGAAGCTGTAAAGGCCACCAGCACAGAGTAGTTTGAAAAAAAATATCGCATTATAACATGTATTGCCATTACGAAAGAGTAACATGTTATGCCTCTATACCCTGTAATTTTACAACTCCAACCTTCCACTGAAGCATACTTGACAAAGTAAGCCGTTTGGCAGCTTCAATAGGTGTGGCTGATGTACCCCAGACTTAATACAAGTCCCGATCTGGTGGTTGTTTTCAGTGAAATACCAACTCACATTGCACTATCCATCTAAAATATTGTAATAAACATTTATTCAAATCTAATAATTGGTCATAAACGAATACTTTCGACATGGTTTCATACATAATGTTTATTAATTAGATATCTCAGTATTTATTAGCATAAACAGAATCAACTTGCTATCTTTCTACGATGTAGGTCCCTAGTATGAAGTTAATGTGTACAAACGTTATGTTAATGATATTGAAGCGTTCGAGGCATGACGCATTACACCCAATCATTCTATCATGTAGGGTAGACTGTTCGGCGCCGCCACACAATTGCATAGTGTATAACCTTGTTTACAAAGTTGATTTTATTACTTGTTACAACGGCCACGCGCGGTCGTCTGATGGACCTATGTGACATGATAATCAAATCATATCTGGACTCGAGTACTTCCCTATAAAATTGTGTAGCGTAACCCCACGTAACGGAAGCGCGCATGAGACACATCGGCAGCGAAACATATTTAATAACAATACAGTAACTCATACGTGTTATATACCCATTAGTTTTGCATCTACCTGCAGATTAAATTGGTCACTACAAAATGATTGCGAGTAATAATGGTTGGTTTGTTCGTCAGACCCGTGAACGAGGGCTGATTATAGGGACTGATCTATTACAAATGCAGCATTTAACTAAACCGGGAACAGGCATATTTCTTGCTTACACTCACTTCTTGAATACTTACCGAATAAGCATTAACCTTTTTTTTTTTGTGTTTTTGTAAATATTATTCATACCTCTACTTCAGAATGGTCCGCGGCGCGGTATCTAATCCTCCCCGGTAGTGGATCATTTTGTGGTACACGAACCATACTACCTCTTTCTAACGGCTTTAATACTTGTCCACGCATGATCTCAGGGCTTACATCTTCAAACACCACTGAACCACTCGGCATTTTGGTAATATGGCATGCAACCTCCTTGCCCTGTTACAAAACAGTGATTTCATTATTTTTAAGTTAAATTCAGAACAAGAATGAAGTACTTTAACTAATATCACATATAATTAAAACATAAAATGAATAAGTAAAATTGTCTGTTTGTGTGTTAAGTTTAAAATTAGTAGGAAATTTTCACAATATGTATAATAATATTATTCAATGTCACCTAATGTTGTATTATACACTAAATAATATTAAGTATAAGGTTCGAAAAAACATGTTGATCCAATAAAAGTTATAAAATAACAAATAGTAGAATTATTTGGGACAAACTAAAACAATATGGTTAGATACAAATATAGGCATCTACTACTCACATTTCTTGTTTGTATAATGAATTCAACATCATCACCCAACACCAATTCCTCTTTAATTTTAGTTTCAGAATAATGAAAGAATATCTCTTTCACGACATCAGCTCTTTCAATAAACCCAAAGTTCTCTTTCATGGAGCATACAACACCGTGGTATTTAACGGGGTGTACAGGATTTTCGAAGCGTACATGGCAAGCCCCCAACGTGCCCCTGAAATAGTGTCATTATATAATAAGTAATAAAGTTCTAAGTCAATTACAATCAATCCTTATTAGAAACTTAATTACCTTTGATTAGTAGCAATCTGAAAACTAACAGCATCCCCTGTATGCAGTGTGACATTACCCTCGACATCATCCTTTGTGTAAGGCAAGAAGAAACACTCCCCACGATTCTCATATGAAATCCTGCCAGTGTTGTCACCAGAACCCTCTCCTTTAACCTCCGTAGTGACAGTACCCGTAACACGAGCCTCACTCAGTACCTTTATACAAATTTGTTTTAATGTATAGAAATATATGACTAACTCTTATATTTAAAAAAAATTACATAGTTATAATCAAAAATATTTTTAAAGTTACTTTTGCTTAAATCATAAAATTAAAAAATATAGTGAATAGTAGATTCACTATATTTTTTATTTTCAAGTTTTTTAATTATTAAAATATTAGTAGGTACAACCATATTTTTTTACAAATACTATTTATAAATAATAACAATAATAAAAATCTTTTATTATAGTCTCTAATTTGTGACAAATTATTTATCTGGAAGAAAGTAACAATAAAAACTACTAATTAAAATATGTTTATGTAATTTGTGGAAGATTTTCATTTAAAATCATTGAAAGAAGGATTTTTTATTCATAATATTTGTATTTTGTTCAAAATAATGCAATAACATACCACTTCAGGTGCTATCTTAGTAACATTGGATGCAATGGGTTTCCCAGTACGGCGATCATATGTCATTTCAAATTCAACAGGATCTCCAATTTTAAGATGTTCAATGTTACCAGTGAACTGACTAAAGTGAAAGAAAAGCCGAGCCTGTCTCTCACAACACTGTATAAATCCATAAGAGTGCTAGAATGTTCCAAAAAATTAGTAATATATAGTTGTTTATGAGATATGCATAATCCATCCCTCATATCTGCATCTGAATCATAAACATATAATAAATAGTATTATATGTTTATGATGCAAATGATCAATCACCTTCAGTCAAACCTTGCACTTATTTATGTATGTCAAAACCTGTTTTACAGAAAAACTGCTCTGCAATCACTTTCTTTATATCAGAGACAAAGACTGCAGTTATTTAAAATTAGTTTCATTTTTAAAGATAATAAATATATGTAAACATTATAAAAAATAATATAGTATGTTTTAAAAATTACTGAGTCATGTTCACATGTTACCTTCTTAATTACAAGACATTATATTGTTGTATTCCATAAAATTAGATAGTTATTATTTACATTTATACTAATGATACTATCAGCATTTTAAATCAAGTTCTTATATTAATATTATTAATATGTATTAAATTTTTAGGTTATATTTAATAAATAATTTAATAAATAACCCGGAGAATTGCTTGAAATATTCATTATGCAATTACATGTGGTACTAATTTTAAATAATAATATCCACAGTCTGCATTAAATTTATTATTTATGTCATATACTTAGTATTTAAAAAAAATCATCATTACTCAGTTATAAATTAGTAACAGTAGATATATAAAAACATACCAATAATTTTTCAATAATCCCTGTCTCTCTAATAGGTGGATGGTTCATAGAATCGTACTGGGATGAGGTGTTATTTGTAGAACCTGAAGAGGAGTATACACCGGCAGAATCTCCCATAGGGCACCCATCCATATTGTAATTGTTCATTGAAAAGCGATTACCTCCACCCGACTTATTAACATTATTGAAATTATCCCTCGGAGAACTGGGGTACTCACTGCTGTAAGTACCTTTTAACAAAGCATACCAAATTAGTGATAATTACAAACACATGTGTCTATGCTACTAAGTAATAGTCAGGTATAGTTACCGTTGCGGTATGATTGTTTGGCCTGCATGTTGGGGTGCTGAAGGTCAATTATATCTTGCAAAGGTGATGAGTGTGAATCTGGCGGCTGGAACATTTTCCACTGAGAACTACTGGACATTATCCCTTGATTTCTTCTTCCTTTTATATAGGTCAAATATTGCAGTAATAAATATATATCACAGAAAAATGTGTGGTGTCAATGTTTCTATTAAAAGTATCAAATTAATATTTTATAAATCAAATCACATTTTTTGTTAGTCTTTGTGTTCTCGAGAACACGGTTGAGTCTATAACGTAAAGATCACAATTTAACACCAAAACTAAGATTGTTGAAAATAAAACTACATAAATGTTACACTAGATCCTCAGATGTCTTCAATGCTTGCTGAGTCGTAGCTCTGGAGAACATTAGACCGGTCGGTGGTGGAGGTAGGTAAATGAATTATTTTGTTACTATCTATTCTACCAGATAATGCCGATATTCATAAGCTGCAATAGAGATTTCGATTATTACAAGACTAATAGCGTTAAGACGATTTCAAATCAATACAAAATAGTTACAATCACTGCGGATTTCAACAAAGCATCGCGTCGAATTATTGTTCTACATTTTATTATTGCTATCTAGGTAGACATCGGCCGCCCCAACCGTGCGATCTGTGAAATTATAACGCCGAGCGATGGGGGTCTGTTCAAAAGATACTTCAAATAAGGCAAATATCATATCACATACGATACTATACACTGGTTACTAATTTTGACCGAAATAAATCATGTATATTTTGAAGCAAATGAGTACAAAACGACGAAATTATTAATTCTCACCACGACACAGCATAGCACTGACGACATACCGCCATATTGAATGTCAACTTTATCATTTTGATCAGGCCATACAAAATGTAAAATTCGACGAGTTTCAAATATTTATTAACAGTCATGAATTATATATTGCAACAACCCAGATATAAATATATATTAAAATTTCTAAAATTTTGTGCTTTTTTTTAACTAAATATAAAGCGACAATAAAAATGTGACTGGTGTTTTTGTAGTTGCGGCCGGTAAAAAGAGGTTTTACTATTTATTAAATAGAAGTAGAGTTAATATAAAATAGCTGAAATTCATTGCTCTAAATATTGCAAAAGTAATATAATAAAAAACTTGGTCAGTATGATTTTAACTTCGAAATTTAGTGTTAAATAATTTGAACGAAATTTAACTAGTACTATCTATTAAAAGAGAATTCTTATATTTTATTTTCATAACTTATACCGCGATTAATAAGAGGAATACAAAGCGTATTTTCCTAGATAATATAGGTAAATGAATTCAATTGAACATGTGAATGAATTAAGAAAAAGGAAAATGGCAACATTCACTTGCAAAATGTCATCAATTATCGAGTTTATACGAAAATGTCATTGTCAGCAGCTGTCACTTCTTTTTCTTGTAGTTTTACGGCCCTGGAAACTCCCTTTCCGCCAATCTGTCACTTCGGAACAGTGTTGGCATCTTAAAAATAATAGTTACTTAGTAGAATATGATGAATATTCTGCTAAGTAACAATTATTTCGATTTCGAGGATTCTTGACGACGTACTAATAGTAAATTGGCATTTTATAGCTATGCAGTAGATATTATGAATAGGGTATAAACAGCAGACACGATTTAATATGGAATAGCTAGAGGTGTAATATTCTGTTATTAACTAAAACTAATTAAAAAAATAATAAAGTATTTCGTATTTTAAAAATATATAAATTTTTATAATACGAATTACTTTTTAATTTTTTTTATTCGTTATTAATTCCGCATAAAACCGCTTCCAATCTTATGTACCTTTCGTATAAAAAGTACCTATACCATTTTAAGATAAACTTTTGCTTAATTTACAGTGAATATTAAACTTTCATATGACACTAGTGACCCTTCCCAGCTTCGTATGCGTTACAAATATTTGAGTTTCTCGGCTTGTTTTATAGGTACTATACATATAACACGCATATATTATACATATAAACCTTCGTCTTGAATCACACTATATTTTGCTGAAAACTGCATTACACTCCTTTGCATATTTTCAAAGATATAAGCGAACAGACTTCTGAGATGACTTTGTTTTATATCTACTACTATGTAAAGATAAGTTGTGTAATGATATTATAAGTTGATAATAAAATTAATTATTAAGGTCATAATTAATTTTTCTTTTATATATACTAACAAAGCCCCTTCCGTCGCAATTATAGCAATTGTTAAGAAGGACCCTATGAACTGGTAAACTGGTTAAAGAACACTGGCACTAAGAGAAAACGTAATGCAATGAACTATAAAAAATAGCTATCAGAATTAATATAGGATATAAAGTCAAAATAGAAAACACCATAAAATATACCTATTGTAGCATTCGCACCAATCCAAGTAGGGGTGACTTTCTGATACATACGCACAATTACGATTACGAATAAAGAACGATGTTCAAATCTCGGCCTAAGTACCTACCTTGTTCTATTGCCTTCAATTATATTTTACTTTTTGATAGTTCAGTAGAAGAAGCCGTTAGTTACAGAGAAGATTTTCAAATTGTCGTAGGTCAGACTCGAAGAGATTTCCAAATTTGAAAAGCCCGATAAATTGTTAATTTACTAAGCAGAGAGAAGGATTTCTTTATTACATTGCTATTGATCTATAGAGACGTTAAACATCACTAACAGATTATCTTTATAATTAAATTTGTTGGTAAAGAATATTTTATATGTTATCAGTTTACCCGCGTCTTCGTCCGCGTGAAATTTAACTTTATTTTTCTAAAATATTTTTTGTTTTCTAATATAAAAGTAACCTAAGTTACTCCTTATTACATTAGCTACCTGCCAAAAAAGTCCCGTCAAAATCGGTCCAACCATTTTAGAGATTAGCCGGAACAAACAGATAGGCAGACAGATAGACATAAAAAAATAAAAAATGTTATTTTGGTATGTGTACCGTATTTATATTCATATCCATGTAGTAAAAAACGGTTATTTCAATATTACAAACAGACACTCCAATTTTATTTATATGTATACATGTTAAGATAAAGACTGCGCAATTAGAAACTAATTTAGTAAAATTACAAAGAGAATGTTCAACTTTCAAAACTTTTGCACTAACTCATGGTCACGTGGTCAGTTTTTATTTTCAGATTTATGCTTTGTTATTTGGGAAATAAGGTTCATTTACAAGATCATGTTAATTGGTTTTTGGCTTGGTAAATAAACATGTATATTTTATATAAAGCCCTAAATTAATCCTTCTAATTCTAATTTTATTCTAATCCTAATGAAACTAAGTAGATTTTTAGTAGTTTGTAGATTTTTTATTTTCTTTACGTTTACCTCAAAATATTAACTTGAACAAGTAATTAAATTGCGTTTTGTCAATAAACTGCAATATTACTGGCCTCTTTATTTACATTACAACACGATGGCTGCAATATTGCTGAGCGCTGGATTAACTTCCTGTAACCAGACCAATAGCAAACAAAAGTGGAGCATTGATGAAGTTTGTATTTAAATAAATATAACTATTGACCGTTGTAAAAAATATATTTAATAGTCAATGAGGCATCCATTTCTCATATTACATTTATAAATTAAATATGATATTTAGAGTTTTTTTTTTAATCATTAAATATTAAAATTTTATTTATTTATTAAATATTTAATGTAAATTAATATTGATATCACAGAAAAATTGTACAGTCCACCTTTCTTTTTATAGCTTATTTTTAAGGGGAATATTCTAGATTTATACGTATTAATTAGTATTCCTATGTACATTATTTATTAGACTTGGTTATATGGACAGATAACCTTTATTTGCTCCATCACACGGAACGTTCAGGGCATGAAAAAATCTACTTCAATAGTTAATATTGTTAAATAACAATTCCCAGATGTAAATGCCTGAACAACTAAACCAGAAATATAGGCATTTATAGGCAGCCATCTATAAACGTCGTCTCCTGAAAACCGGCACATTTTTGTGTATTGTTTCTTATTCTTGTGTAGGTATACTTTTTTATTCGTTAATGTCTGGCATTAAAGGCATCTACCTAATATTAGAGTTCTATTAATTATTCTAGGTTCGCATTATTAGTTGGTGACGTTGAGCCAATAAGGCCATTTCTGTAGTTTACTTTTCGAACAAAAAAATAATTTTATAAATCTGTATCCATTTGACGTTCATATCAATGAATATTAATAAAATAAAACATTTAAAGCGTTCGTATATAGAACCTAATCCTTTTTTGATGTCTGTTTAAAAAGGATGCAGCGAAGAAAGGAACTAAAGTATTCAACAATGAATATGTCACTGAGCTTGGCGACTGGTAGCCGAAGGATAGCCAATTATCCTCTCAAGTCAATTCCACTCCGTCCCACTTTGAAAGCAACGCGGTATATTTTCGAGAATTCATTACAAAGTACTAAATTATCTGATTTCCTCTTCATACTTTCATACACCACGGCGACTCGCCTACGTATACCCAGTGCCGGTAATCCGGATAATGCTAATGCCTAGTAACAAAAAGAAAGAATAACAAAAAAGATTTATTAATAATTAAATATTTTTTTAGTTTTAACAAAGTGTAATCCGAACAAGACAATTAGAAAATTGTAAATGTGATTCGTTTTAAATCAAACATAAGAATCGAAACTAAACCACGAATTTCTTGAGACAACTTGCTTAGTCCGATACCGCGTCTCAACAACATACATAGAATCATTTCATAATCATTAATAAAAAATAAGTATCTAAACATAATCTATTAGTATCTTCCTTTAATATCATTTATTGGAGATAGCATTCATTAATATTTAAGGGAAAATATTTATCTCTTTATAAAACTTAAACGTACACAAAGTTTCTCTGATAAGAATCGGCACATCAAACAGCAATGACGGGACGTCTAAATACTAGACATGAACTTATTGTAACAATACAAATAATGAAACACACACACACTGCGCTTATAAAGTCGTTGTCCCTTCAGTTTGTCTACTTTAAGATCGATAAGGGTGAACAAAATATATAATAAATTGTGTTAGTTTACTAAGCACTTGCGACTATTATTTTAATAAAATTTGACCTGAAGATATAAAGCTATCATTTTTTTAATTTTATATTTTATACATATTTATATATATAATTACCTATTTATATATATCGTTACGATTAGTAGCCAAACTATTGATGGACATGAAAAAATGAGACGTCTACCTCTTAAATAAAAAAAAAAGCTCACCATGTCATGGGTAACAGCCAGTTATAAACACATACAAAATAGTATTATTGTCAAAACTGAAGTTACTTGAACGTGTCAAGACAGGTATAAAGCAGTGCTATCAATACACTACAGCTAACGGCCACAGCGGGTTAGTTTCAATCCCCTCTCCCTCTTCCTAATATTATGGAATTGAGTGCATATTTGTCGCACTTTTTCGTGTCCATCTGACTTTTTGATCACTGTCGACAGATACTGAATACTGAATAGATAATTAGGTACAAATAACGTCAAGTCCCAGATAAGATTGTTAATAAAAAAATATAACAAAAGTTCTCAAATATCCAACGCCAGCTTCGCGTTAGGTTTTTGCTTTTTCAAGAATTTATAAACAAGCTTTTTGCCGCGACTTCGTACTGTTTATGGAGATAGAAGGTAACCTAAATCTATCCGTGGGATGCAATCTATTTATCTTTATTCCAAATTTCCTTAGGATCTGTTGAGTATCGTTTAAAGGTAACAAAATATTTCTTAATCCTTATATCTAGGTATAGGATATAAAGAATACATACGTTTATAAATATTATTTAAACGTGACATAAATAAATATATCTTCATAATAAACATTCCGTTTAATATACATAATATAAACTTGTGTAATTAGCTTTATTGATTATATATGTAGAAGAATAATAATTGGTACCTACAAATCCTGAAATATCTTCTAAATAAACAGGATATTTCTTGGAGAAAATGTAAAGCCTCGCAAACAATTGTAAAAAAATGTTGTTCTTATTATTGAAAATAGCTATATATAAATGTCTATAGATTCATATATAAGTATAAAATTTTGTAAGTATATATATGTCTAATGAGTAGGTATATAGATACGCAGTAATAACAAATATTTTATTGTGAAATTATAAATTCCAGCCAAGCAGTGTAATATGAAATATTTAATATCACAATCGGCTCGTCGCTAGCCTGGTTATGTCCCCATGAGAAAAATCCAGATATTTTAGAATTTATAAGCACAACCGCTCCTGGAGCTAGAGAAATAAAATTTTATTAGATTAATTCCATGTATCAGTTTTGTACTATACAAATGAAACTTATTTATTTAATAACTTCACCAAAGCTATTTAGGAATATTAAAAATATTAACCCCCATAATGGTCTCCCATGCAAAGCACATAAAAATGTATTCTTTTCCAAATCTTGTCTAATAAGATTGGACAAATCAAAATCGGATTATAATATAGGCATAATTAGCAGTCTCCATAGTGTAATATTAGCTATCACCTACGACTTCGTCTGCTTTAGTTGAGATATAAGAATTCATTGAGATCGTTTAGAGTTAGTACTCCAATAGGTAACAATAAAATCAAATAGAATAGTTAACGCTTTGACAGACCCATTATATAGCACCACAATCACTCTAATTACCTTTTGTCGTATGAATCAAAAACAAAGGACCAACAAACAATAATCTACAGTCAGATGTCCATTACATTCAAATAACTAGGCGTTTGATTGATCTGCCCTACGGATGTTTTTACTGTACGTGTACATATTGCAATCGAAAATGCATCAGGTGAGACAGAAACCGTTTGGACACATGAAAACATCCTGCTGAAAATTGCAATTAAATTGTAGAGATATATTTGCGCATCCAGTAACTCTAGTAATTAACAACCTGATTGGTGGACTGTACCGATTTAATATACTGAGAAATACGTGTTTAATATAAATATTTGTTTCAAAGGTTTAAATATATGGGAATGTTTCCTATCTAAATTATTACGTCTTTATTTAATATATTCCATGAATACAGTAATTAATGAAAATGCGTTTACCTTAATAAGATATATGTTATAAGCGAATTGCTATAGCAATTCGCTTAATAACAACTATTCATTTGAATGAAATTCTCTTATTACGATAATGAATTATTTAAAATAACTATGTAGGTACCTTATAATTCCTATTAGCCCATTCAAGTTACACTAGTTCAGAACTAGATGATTAAATGAATCCAGATTTATTTATCTTATCTAGTTATTTACTCTAGGTACAAGAATTGAAGCTAACCAATAATAGAATTGCTTTCCTGGCCGACAGTCACACAGAACTCGTTGTCCCGCGGTTCAATTATAGGTGTCATGATTTGTCTACACTGTACGTGTGGCACAGGTTTTGCTATGTTAGTTTCCAAAACTGTTCGCCTGTAATTATCTGAAAAGGAATATTTTGTTTTAAGGTAGTTGGATTGGTAAATAATCTAACGGGCCACCTATTGGTAAGCAGTATCCAACGGCTATATAGGTGTACATAAACAGCGCTACAGACATCTAGTTACCATGTGTGAACATGTGCTGTTATTACAGAGGACTAAGACGTAGCCTCTTTATCTGTAATTTCTTTACCATACAACAATTAAAATACAGCATACAATGCAAGTTGCTTTGCGGCTAAATAGACGAGACTGACTTACCCATGCAGATCACATTTTACAGTACAACGTATTTATAGACACGTATGTGTAGATTACATACAACCTATTTTCTCACGTCACTACAGCTATTTTCCAAGTTTTCAAGTATTCCAGTTTCAGGCGTCCATAATCCATATTTACATCAGTTGGGCCGTACGCTTGTTTGACACCATAGTGTTATAAAAAAAAATAGAGCCAATTTACATTTAAAGTAAAATGTGTCTAACGGTTTCCTAAACAAGTTCCTAGGGAATCATCAATTTTGAGAAAAGTTGTTTCCTAAATTCAGACGACTAAGATCCCAGACCCAATTTGTTTAGAAGAAAAAATAATTTCTCAAATTGTTGAACAATCAGGAATATCTTCTATGGTTAAGTTATGAAAAACATCTAGCCTCATTTGCAATTTGAAAAAAAAATCAGAAATATTCTATAATTTTTTATTAAAAGCGAACTGTACATTCATTTCAATTGAAAGGGACAAATTATCATCTAATGAAGAGGTATGTAACACAAAGTAAACAATGTCGTGTAATATGTACGTTGCAGAGTATACAGTGTCACCCAACATTGCCGGTCTAACCTATGATTTTAACTATTGTGCGAGGAATTGCAGTGTGCATTAAATTCTCCATTAAAATTGAAACAATAACGCGAGCATGTGGTAATGTGATACATAGACAATGTATCGTCACAGTAATCAATTCCCTTACTTGAGGTTTAAAGGTAGAATATGGGAAATTGGTAACAAGGCAAAATATATCGGTGCAAGAGAGGAATAATGTACAATGAAACCGCACACCTGGCTGCGTGGTCATCGGCGAACACTAATTGGTTATTAGGTTGATCCTCAACAGGTTTCAAATTATATTGAAGTTTGTAGCTAGTAAGTCAAACTTATATAAATTCTATTTTACGTTTTCGATAGTCCATAGAGTTAGAACACCGTCTCAATATTTGTATTCACAAGTAAGCATTGTTCTTGGTGTTTTCGTATAAATTATATATGTCACCAAAAAAAATGGGTAACTCCATTAGTTTTTTAGTACCTACAGTACAAACTCAGTATATGGCTAGATGGCGCTATGAAATTGTAATAGGTTATTATTATTAATATTACTTACCATCCGTATATAAAGTTTTGCGATTCAAGCTCACAATTTCCGTTTTCTTTGGCGTCATCGCATATGTTATTGTGGTCTTTGGCCCATTAGAATTAGATACTGAAAAAGCATACGACGATAATAGCAATCTATAGGTACCTACATATATAGTACATATACATATATAATCTATATTTTATGTAGATGTTCTTAATTTGAGCGCTTAGATTTCAGCGTTACTTTGTTAAATTTCAAAGGAAAACAGACAAGACTATAACTATACTTAAATCTATATATGAAAATCTCTGTATAGTTACGAAAATTACGTAAATTGAAGGTCATGAAAAAAAATCAATATTTATTATTAATAATACTTAAAATACATTAAATTCATTACATAACTTGTTACTTACATTGCCAAGCATGTAACACGTACCAGCATATATGTTTTATATTGTATAATATAATACATCTCTTAATACTGTTCAAATTAAAACTTAATGTTTATGAATTATGGTCGAATTTCGATCAATGAGCGATTAGTAATTATGCCAATCTTGTTACCTATCTTTAAGTAATTTTTATAAGATGTTTTACTAATTAAAGAAATAATTTAATTACTTACAATCGTACCATGTTGACATTATCGCTAGTCTGTGCTCAAACACCCCAATGTTGTTGTTGAGATCATCCTTATTATAACCGGGATATACTAACGCTCGTGTCACATCAGATGCTGTTCAAAAAAAATCATACATCATAAATTAGGAAAGTAGAGCTTCGCGTCACAAAGAAAAATATTGTAAATTTGTAACTGCCTCGCCGGTGATGGATACACCGAAAACAAATCGAAATTATATATGAGATGGCGGCATGCTCGACAACTATCATCTTAAATTGAATTGTAAACTGAAAAATGTGATAATGTATATTGCGTTCACGACAACCTACTGCTATATACATTTGACAATACCACTGACTACCATCTGAGATTAATAAATATCACCACAAATATTAGTTAGGTACCTAACCTAACTCATAGTGCGTTACCTTTATTCAGCAAAATACATTCAAATGACACTTTCAAGAGATAAAATATTAATATAGGTATAACTTTTACAAGACAATTTTAGAAATGTGAAGATTTTTTAAAACTCAAATATCGTTTAATATTTTTAGTGTAATACAATAATTTACACATACCAGACATATGAATAGAATTAATTGACTAGGTTGCATAAATCCATGTGGTAAAAACTGTATTAACAGCAAAAATATCAATGCAATAAGTAAATTATGATATCCAGACATTATATTACCGACATTAGCAAATTATAAAGGTATCAATTGAATTTTATAAAAGTATTTAATTACCGTATATTAAAAGTTACTTGGAAACCAAGATACATTAACTACAAAATGTGTAGGTTCTTGCCTACACATTTTAGGTTACATAATTAATTTTTATAGTCACTTACTCATGTATTGGTTGGGGTTGGTCATGTAACCGACGTTCCACATTGGTAGCAAGTGCGCCATGTTTGGTTCAGTACGTATAGTGACACAGAGTGCAGGCGCCACCGACCATCTCTCTCGAAGAAGATGCGCAACGCAAATGAATTTGACTGGCGTTGTGTTCAAATAAACGACGCCAATTCCCTTAGAGTCCTCTTTGAAACCTATATACAAGCCATGAAATGGATTACTTAACCAACACAAATTTCTTGTATTGTTTTCAAAATATTTCATGTAGTACTTCAAACGAGCTGTATCTGTATATTAAATTTTAATAAGATCACAAGTTACGCTTATGTTACATGTGTCAAAAAATTAGTTGTAATTTTTGTCTATACGTTTTAGTTTCGTTTTAGTAAGAACACTAGTACCAAGTTTCCGGCAACAGCTAGTGTTCCTTTGATTAGAGTAAGTTTTCAAATAAATTCCATATAGTAGGTATACATACAGTAATTACAATTATGATACCACGTGTTGAGATAGTTACGTAATAAGAATTTAAAAAATACAGAAATATTGTCGGGGCAGGATAGGAATATAATACACTCTTTTTTTTCTTGATTAGATCGTGAGTGTGTAGGATTTAGAACAGATTAAAGTCTAAAGGTTTGAGTTTGTCTATAGATAATTTCAGTAACACTTACAGCTTACGATGCAATTCGTAAACGTTTCATATATAATTACAAAACTGTGAATTTTTATTTGTTTTGAATTAGAATTGTTAGTAACCTCTTTACATAATGAACTCTAGAGTTTACGACCAGGCTATCAGATTTCAGCTGTTTAATTGTTTCATACTGTTTCTAATAATTGTAATTTGAAATCAACAATTTTGTGTGAACTATTATATACTATTATTATATGTATTGATATTTACTACTAATATTAGATATATATAGCGTTCCCAAGGAGGGTTGGTGTCAGGCAGGTGGCTGGCCGTAAAACACTTATGCCAAAAATCTTTGCAGTATGGAAAATATGATAATGATTAAATATATATATACATTATTTATTTAGTTTTTTTATTATAGATAGACCTGTCAATTTTAACGTTTGAAATGAGATTTGTTAGCCATCGGGTAAGTAATAGCGTATAAAGAATAATAATAAATGTAATAGTAGTAAGTCCCAGGTCTTATTAGGAAGAAACAAATTCATTTAACATCGAAAAGAATGATATTGAAATAACTAGGTATGTAATCTGAGATGTGACTTTTTTAAAACAATAGTATTCAACATACAAAATACACGCTTCAAAATCCTATGCGTAGTTTTAAAGATTTAAGCATACATAGGGATAGACAGTGATAGCGATTTTGTTTTATACTATGTCATGATGATTTGAAATAAGTTTTAGGTGATATTTTGCATTTGTAAAATACTTTTTGATATCGATGGCAGGGTACACGGGATTATTTTTTAACCATATAAAGGACGGTAACGCGCACGTGACTCCCGGGTGTTTTGGCGTTCATAGGCTATGGTAACCGTTTACCATCAGATAAGCCGTATTCTTATTACATACATTGTTCTTATACTTCTTGTTTCTTATACTATACATTGTTCTTCTTTTATTTTAATATTTATTCATAATTATAATAAATTATATCCTAATAGATTATGTAGTACCTAAGGTACCTAATAGTGTACATTATATGTAATATGTACACTAAACGTAAAGAAAATCTTTGTTTTATAAGTTTAGATTTTTCTTTTAATAATTTACCAATAATATAATATACACTAAAACCGTAATAAGCATAACAAGTCAATTTAAATATTAGTGTGTTTTAATTGAAAGCTGAGTTGAGAAGGGAACTTGACTTTACTTTGGAACCCTACCTAATTGGCGGCTGGATTAATTTACTAGATTTATTAAATAAAATATAGGAAGTTTAGAACTACAAAAGTATAGTATAATAGGTATTGTGCATATGAATGGGAAAAAATATTTTATAAAAATGAATTAATTATTGTTTTATAAGTAATAGATTATATTTGATTGATTTTAATAATTAGATTATTTATTAACCGGTGTCTTTTCACTAATGTTTTTTTAAATTCGTTTATCCCCTCAAATTCATATGAATTTACTCAAGTTTCAAACCAAGTGATAATAGCTCTGAATACCCAATCTAATGGTCGTCAGAGGAATACAAATAGTTATTTCTCTTTTGAAACATTTTTATGTTTATATATTTCCGCGGGCATCAAAAAGAGATCGATCAAAAATTGAGGCATTCATCAAACCGGTAAAGCGAGTAGGTAGGCGAATTTATTTTTACTTAAAAATACAGTTATTTCTGTTTGGTTGGATGTTTCGGCCAGGATGTCAGTTGCAATACATGTAGGTACAATAAATATAATTTAATTTTCAGATACGAGGCGGTAATGGGGAGTCTGGGTGGCTGAAAACATCGTTATGAATTCCCGATAATTTTGCATTGTTACCTGTTGTTTTTCACCGGTTCGACGTCAGTAAAAATTTTTAACACTGCCTCCAGGCTATGTCCACGTATTTAATGTAACGTGTTGTAATACTATTACTTTATATTAATAATATAATACACCCGTAAGTTTGTAAGTGTGTATGGATGGATGGATGTTTGTTTCATTCACGCAAGACCTACTAAATGGATTAAATTAAAATCCATTCTTTTTAAAATCAGTACTTTTTGCGTGAATGAAACAAACAATTACTAATTACAGTCATATAATTTATACATCAGAATAACATATTGGTTATAACATTCACGTAGGTAAAAAATATATCCGGAGTGACGTAGTGTGGTATTCTGTTTTGGCCATTTGTTGTGGGCAAGGGAATAAATTAAGGGTTCTTAAAATCTCTGCTCAAAAGTACAGTCTACTCACTCTAGCTGAGCTCTCTCTACTTTGAGATCTAATAGGTTACGGATTATCAGACACTGAAGTTATTATTAGCATCATAATATGGATCACTGATGTGATGCGCAGCTCCACAGATCGCCATCATAGAATCCTAGTTCATATCTCTTGAATTGATAAGAGAACTGATTGGTTTATATTCAAGCAATCAGTTCTCTTATCAATCTTATCGTCTTTCACTGGTGCCCCGCCATCAAATCTCGTTAACGGAGCCGTGAGCACTATTCCATGTATTGAAAAAAAAACTTGTCACTTGTAATAGCTTGATTTAAGAATATTTCTAGTGGAAGTAAACCGGAAGTGAAAGAAAAGTGGAATAAATTGATTTCAACGCACTTGGGCTTATTGCAGTTAAATGTCTTCGTGTAGTTTTAAATATTTCATTACCACTATGATCAACCAGGCACAAATGGATAAAATAAACAATCACCAATGTAATTATTAGTACGAATGTTATTATAATATGTGTAAATAAGCATTTCTCTCCCCTAGTAAATTTTACGTCATTACTTTTTATAAATTCAGACATATTTGAATGATGATGGAAATCGTTGCGGACTAGAGTAGAATTAAATATACGTGACAGTCGACATCAATCATATTTTAGCCCATACCTACATTTGCAATGAAAAAAAAAACAATTTGATATATTTGAGGTGTTTTGTTCGAGTACTACTCAAATTCAAATTATCAATTAAAAATACTGAAGCGAATGACTCATTTTATAAACATATTATGGTACCAAACTATTGTAGAAAAATTGAAGGATAATAAATAATATGAAAGGACTAAAGTCACTTAAAAAAGTTTATTTTTTATACCGCGAAATGAGATATAGAAATATTTGTATATTTGATTTCGTTATTAAACTAAAGTTTAAGATTTTTAATTACTATTTAATGAAAATATTACTAATTAATATTAATATAAAAGTTTTTACCTGAGAATCTTCTGAATTTCACTATATTTTTTAACTAACAACAACCAAAGTAAGTTATTATATAAATACACAAACATTTTATTACAATAGAGTTTTTGTAATTCTAATTACTGATTCATACATAATTATTAAACTTAACTCACTCGCTGAGCGTCTAGCGTCAGACACCGGGAGCGAATGCCGAAACTGTCAACACAGCGTCTGGACCAGCGGTTCATATTACACAGAATGTGAGCGATAACTACTCGTACTACAAAACGCAATGCGTAACTTTTTCACACGACAGCCAAACTAGTAGTCTGTCGGACTGAAACTGCAAGCTGCGCTACCTAGACACGCCGATACGTCATCACAAAATACAATACTATGACACCGAATACCGATACAACCCTCACCTGTACCATGACTGAGGGTCAGTGCCTTTGTACCTAGAGATTTTATTGCTATATAGGCTGCAAGTGCCCTTCAGGCATTTTCGTTATATGGGTCTACTTTAATCTGCGTTATATGATACTTTGTCTGAAATAACGTATTGTGGACCTTTTTGTTAATTGAAAAGGGTTTTAAAATACTTAAAGCATTAATAGTTTAAATTTTTTTTGCATTTGTCAATAATAATAACTTTTGTGTTTAAATTAATCTAAATCTATTTCTAAATAACATGTCATTTTACATATTTTGAAAATAGTTTAGTATAGGCGTACTAGGATACTTCTATTATTTAAATCTTATACTTTAGATCTGTTTTTCATCTAAAAAACCACCAAATTTAGTTTTCTTGTGCGACGTCTGGCCTGGAAATAATACTGAACATACATTAATTGGACTGAAGCATTTTTTAAATTGCATAATAAATTACTGGCTACACGGGGACACCATTATTTTGTACTAACTGACCCGCTTAACTTCATCTGTATCACACTTACTTGACATTTATTATTATATTTCGTCCAATTATATATCTTTTTAAATTATAAGCTATGCGTTATTCTGATGTATGACGTAAAAAATAAAAAAAACTCTTTTCTAATTTATCTCTCCTATCCACAATCATCCTTTCTGCCTAAAATTAAACTAATGAAGTGCCGTTATATGCGTAAGCATTTTTTGTAGTTATATTTATGACTAAATGTCGCTATTATTTGAATTGCTTTAGCAAATTTTATGATATCCTAGGTTATATAAATTAGACATTTAAATTAGTCCTCGTAAAAAAAATAATTATGAATTATAAGTGTGTTTGAAAACTACTATAGTGACTTACCTTTTATACCCGTATAAGTATAAATTAAGTTAAGGTCTTTTTATCTTTAATATTGCAATCCCTTCTCTGCAATATTTATTTGCAACCTGTTGCACATCACTCATGGATCACCGCTTCTCTCTGATCAAAATCTTCTCATTGTGAAAAGGTAGACCTGTAGCGGCTGTTATTGTGAAGAAATTTATGTAAAACGCGTCTAAGATCAGCTTATCTTATAATCGCGGATAGGTTAACTAATACAGAAATATTTATTTCCGGTCTTAGACCCATTAGTATTTTACCAGTCTGAAACCTGAATACTCTGGAATCGATAACGGGCCAAAAAAAGACCGAGAGGTCAGTTAGCAGTAATATTTTATGTTTGTGGTAGAAGGTTGCGACTTTCGGTGAGGGTTGTATCTTCTTAAAATAATGCATTACCAATTAGTAACAAATTATTCCTGTAATAAAAAAACAATTCAAAACGTGATAATGATATTTCATTATTATGTTTTGAACTGTTTTTTAGCCTACCAAATACATGTAAATATATTCGAAAATTCAAGTACCTACCTACCTTATGGAAAATGGTGACCATTACCACCATTTCAATCGGGTGGCCGATCTATGATCAATTAAATTACATAAAAAATATTTTCTCAATCATTACACAAGTCTTTGATGTCGATTGTCTACGGAATTAAACTTAAATTACATATGTGTGTTAAAAATCTTTAACTATCTTCAATATGTGTTTCCCTATTCGACTTATCAAAGAGTTCGTTATACTTGTATCTTCTTCAATTCTATATCATTTTTATACGCAATGCCAAAATGATTTCTTGGTAGACTTTCTGTTGGATTCTTACCTGCCAATAACTGTACGGGGTTCTTTCAAACGCCTTGTCTTGTTTGCTCTGTGCTACGCTACAGCGCGCGAACAATCGTTCAAAGGAGAGAAATTCCTCCTTCGTCTGGCAGAGCTTCACAGTAATTTATATATGAGAAACGAATCTCGACTTGCTATATTTTGATAAATAAAATAACAAAAATCTAATTTTTTATGTATACTTTTAAACCATATAAAAATTAATAAAAATAGTGTCTATGCAGGTAATCGTTTATAACTTACAAATTACCTACTGATTATAGGCAATATGTAATACAAAGTTACTATTAATGAACACTTAGACAAAAACATTGCTGCACAGACTAATAAATTTGCACCTTGTCACATTATCAATTTATTTGTTTCTTGTTTAAATGTTTTGATTTACAAACAATGTCATTCTGAAACGGTACCAGTGCTAGAGAGCATACCTATAGTCTATAGAATATTAATGTACCTCCATATATATATATTATGTACTCTACCAGATTTTAGGTTGGTATGACTGAGTAACGTAGATTCCATTATTAGATACACTGAAACTGGTAACAATTTACTTGGACGAGGATATAATGTAGGTATTGATTATATATAATGCAGTTATTATCACACCTTTATTGATATAGATGGATACTTCAACTACGAATATAATATATATGTACTGTATAATAGGTATATATTACTTTTGTAATATTTTTGACATAATATTAAAGAAAACGGTTATAATTATAAACCGTAAATACCTATGTGTAAATGTACAGTTTAATAAACTCCACAAAAGCGTTGAGAAAATGTCTTCAAGCATCCAGGAAAGAATTTCATCAAGACAACCTTAAGATAAAGGAAAGGATATTTGTCGATAGGCCATATAAGACGTAGTAATAGAGACTATAAAAGTTATAATAAATAGAAGATAAAGATTAATAATAACAAAATTATACTTTAGAAATGATTCAAATAAATATGTAACATAAATCTTATAAATAGGCATGTAAATAATAATAATTCACATATTTATGTGTATAAAAACATATTATAGATGTAATACGTTTATTAAATTGTTATATAGTAAAGTTATTAATAATAATATTTGGAAATAAATTATTCAAAGACGTCGAATTTGTATGGTTCCCAATTAGGATCGTTCATTTTACATACACAAGAAATGCTATCGACGATATATAAGATATATTTTATCTGTGCTGTACTAACATAGTCAATGATTGAAATATAAATTGTAGTCAGAATGAATATTAATATATTAATTGTTTACTGGAGCAAAGGGCATTTGATAATACAGGCCACCAATAAAACATGTAGCCAGTTAAATTTCGAATTTCGAAGAAAAAATCAATTGAAAATAAGAACTGGAAGAAAAAAGACGCTTCGTATTCTTAACTATTATAAAACAAGAAAATTAAAGAATTATTTGATTTAATATTATTGTTTTTAATAAAATATCTATAGTAAGTGGCCACTTCACATCGGAACGTTTTTGAGCAAAGGTGAGTGAGATTGCTGTTACTTTGCTTACTTCGTAGTGTGGAAGACGTTCTTCCTAGGCGAAATAGTATTTCTTTTTCCTTTTCCAGTAATTATTTTCTTTTCAATAAATACAGTCCACTCTCTATTTTCATTTCTGCGGTACTTATACGGATTCGTAATCCAACACTAATTATATTTTTAGATTGTGCTTTTTTGTCCAAACAATAATCTACTGGTACTTACTATACTATACATTTTTTTTATTATTATTTTTCAATAGAGAGTTGATATTCTCTAAGAAGAGTTTTAGCAATAAGTATGTTTTTGAAAGTTAGCACATGTAGATAATGATATGCACTGCCCAGTTTGATTATCAATTTACTTATATATGTATATATCTCGCTAACTAGAGTTTGATCTTTAGGAGCAAATTGGACTTTGTTTGGGAATGGCCGGATGGTGATCACTATTAATAAATTTGTTGAGTGTTGGTTCTTATTTAGGTATTATATATTGGCACATTACACGTTTTGGATTAAATGTATGTTAAAGTTTTGTTAAGAATTCGTACTCGTCGGATTAACAAATTTAATAATATTAAAGAAGCATTTTAAATACGTCTATATTATTTAACCTAATTCTAACGTTTACAGCAAGTAATTTAAGTAATAAGACTAATTCCTATACATGTATAGTACACAGTCTAATAATACATGTTGTATTATTAGACCATAGGAATTACCAAAAATATTATTAGAAAAAAAATTGCAACTCAGAAATAAATAAATAAGCAGTTATAAGTAATTATTACATTTAAAACAGAGTACGAGATTATAGTAAATAATTGTGAATTACAATCCAAACTGTATTATAATATTTGGCATTCAGAGATCTTATTTGTGCTGTAATGCTCCTATTCCACAGATCAACTTTACTATGTACAGACCTTACGTACCTAGGGAGGTACAGGTATATATACCCCACAACCGCAAAACG